GCAAACATTGAAACAGGACAGTTTATCCTGTGTGGAAGGCAATCTTCCCTGCAAAATTCCCAGTYAGACCAGTCAGGCTGTCAGCCTTTGCTCTCAGTGAGCAGACCAGCTCAAAATACCAGCTCCAGCAGGGGAGGTAAGCCTGCTCTCCCATCCCACCAGTTTTGCTAGGTTCTGAACATGAGAAAGTGGACAGAGGGCTTAGGAATCATTAGTACTGAGGGCAAAAGAGGGAGGGGGAGAAAAGGGTAGCAAGAATGGGTGCAAAACTGCCTGAGCAGTTGAGATTTCCTCCATGATTGCACATCAACGAGCAAACATTCTSTCTTTGAGGTGTCCTTCCTGGCATGTCTGTTGSGTSAGAATAAAATCACAGAAYTGTGGAATATCTGCTCCCAATATTTCACAAGGCAAGGAATCGAGAGATGATTTGTGGGAAGTGTATGGAAGTGCATACTGATTTTTAGATACAAACACTAATTGTTCTGGAATTTTTAATAGCAGCATAATATCTCCTACTTACTTTGCTCAGGAAGAAAACTGTACAATGTATCCTTTGATGCACAGAGTATGTCAGCGAGGACAGAATAGTTCATGCTATGTGTTGTGGTAAAGATACCCTATCTTCTAAATTATCTTTTCAGAAAAGAAGTTGAAGACTTTACAGTATAGAAAATACCTTTGCCTCTTAAAAGTAGCTATCTGTTAAAATGCCAAGTGATATCTCTGTAGCATAACAAGAGTGTGTTAATTGTGAAAGATGATCATGACAGTATTCAATATTTTTGTCTAATTCTAGCTAATGATGTTAACTCTTTTGAGGTACTGATATCTAATCAGGCAGGTCATCAGTGCTTTYTCTTTTAGRGGAATGATGTTTTCCTTAGYCTGGATGATGGTGTTATATTTCAGATGAAAATATGAAATGCAGAGATTTCACACACACACACACACACACACCCCTCTTGCCAMTTCTCTGGATGCTAGAGTGGATTTATTTTTATTCCWTTATAGAAGTAGTATTTTAGTTATTTATGACATTTTTCAATGTTTTTTTTTTCTATTGCTTTAGACTTAGGGTCATGTGTAATCAATTTTTTTGCCATGTACTAGTTATCTCTTTTTGTCTTGTTACTCCATGTAATTGGTTTGGATGCACTTACTGCTTTAACATAATTGTCTACTTGGTGTTTTACACTGATTTCAAGCCTCAGGTTCTGCTCAGTTACACAGGAATTTACAGGAATTTGATCKTTTGAGGACATTTGTCTAGAAATTCTAGAGAAGTTTTAATTCTTTGATTATTATATCTTAAGGCAGCTTTTTACATTAAGAGCTGTCAAGTGTCAAGAAATGTAATTCTGTGAATAAATCAACACAGAGATTGCAAAATTACTTTTCTGATGCTGTTTGGACAGTTGCTTATGGTAAAAAGATCTGCTTCAGATGAAGATTCATAGAACTTGATTTTTTGAATGTTATTAGTATTTCAGTTTTACAGAAAAAGCTAGTAAGAGCAGTGGTAATTGAGATTACTTTCTATCATAAGACAGTGTTTTTAATCACTTATGGTTTTCTGAAATTATAGCACTGAGGTGAAATTTTGCATTGGGAAAAGTTTTGGAGCTTCAATATTCTATTGCTGACATAGGACTAGGAGGAATCTCAGCCGCTGTGATGACTGGCACAGTGAGCTTGTGTGGGGATTTCTTTGGTTGTCAAATAAGAGAATGGAAGTTACCTGTGTAATTATGGTGTTGACACTAAAGCATATTGACATAGGATAGTATATTACTGAAATTGTACAACATATGACTAGGTGGGACCCTAAAGCTTTCTTTGGCTCTTTAAGTTCACTGAAGGCCTTATCAGCTGTGTGCATTGCTCCTGGCAGATGCTCATACATCTTGTTACTGCAAATTTTCAGTAATTAGAATCCCACAATTGCCTTCAGCAACCTGTTCTACTGTKCTTGCTCAGAGTAGTAGTTCCAGATGTTCAAGACAATTTTTTTTGTTAAAGCAATTTTAAACCTTCTTTTCCTTATCCTACGATAATACAGAAAATAATTTATTCTTTCATCTCTGTAGCTATGTTTTACAGAGCAGTGTGTACCCCCCTTCCCGTGTCAAACTCTTTAATACTGCTTTTCACCCTCTGTTCTTGCTTATTGTTGCTCACCTCTCCACCCCAATTAAAGAAAAAATATTTTGACACCATTCTTCAAGACTAAGTGATTCARTTGTGTTTAATAATTTGGTTCCTTTTCCTTAATTTTTATGTGATTTTCTTGTGGTCTGAAGAGTATCTAGCAGTGTGTTTATTATTATTCAAAAATAATTTCTCTGTCCCTTGTAGAAGTACAACTGTCACTGCTTTTGGTGATGGCTAGGTGCTTTTCAACATAAAACCAAAATATGCCTGSTATTTTAGTTTTCATATGCCAAAATGGTTATATGAAATATTTCATCAACTTTCACTGTATCATATGACAGGCTATTAATTAATTTTAAATTAATTAATTAAATTAAAATAAATTAAATTTTAATTAATTAATTAAAATTTACTGCACATTTATTTTAATTTGTTTCTGCTTCCAAAATATTCTCCTTCTGTATTTTTTTCTTCTGTATCTTAGTGAAATATGAGATTGCTTGTCATCACTGCTAATTGTTTATTCTCCAGCATGAGAACTAGCATAGAGTTTCTTTTAGGACTTCTCCCTGGCTTGCTGCTTTTTCAGTGGAAACTGTTTTGTCTAAGGGAGTCTTCAGGAATCCTATGACAGCAGCCCTAGGTAGAATGCCTGTTCTTACATCCAAGGTATTATTGAAAATCCTCAGWAGTATTCTTGAAAGACTGTAATATGATCCATAAAAGAATTATTACCATTTTAATGCTTAACCTGATTTGGACTGCAAAGTTGTATGATCATGCACACTTCACTGACATGGTGGAATTTTTCATTGAAGAAAAATTACATCTATTCTCCTCTGAAAACAGATAAGTTAACTGCTTTGTATCATTGAATTTAATATATTGGGTCACATCTGCTAAAAGATTATTGCACTAGAAGGAGGCARTGGATAATTTATTAAAATACCCCTGCAGGGAGATAGCAGGCTATCTGGTTAATATAGAGGAATGCTTGATGGTTACTCTGAAAGCTCCCTGGTGAATCCTTTAACATMGGAATAGAATGGGAGATGAAAATGATTGCTCATTATGTAATGTTTACTGTGTTATACTGGTGCCTAGCAGATGAATAATATTTATGTTACCAGCTCCTTYCCAGCTTTTTATATTGATCTCCTGCTGGTCTAGGGCTGATATATAATTGCACTGAAAATAGGAGGATCATACTTTTTTTCTGTAATGAAGGGTGGCAAAAAGGTGCTTCCAACACATCACCCAAGCTGGCTATGAAGGGAAAGATATTGTATCTTTGTGCCACAGACTTGTAGGATTTTAATTTACTTTTTTTTTTTCCCTGAACTGTTTCTCATCTCCTTGTAAACTCAAATGAACCACAGACAGTATCCCACAGGCAGTTAGAATTTCTTGGTGCTTGGGAAAGCTTCTCTCCTTTGCCTCAAAGGAACCTCAGAGTTTGCCATGCTTACTGAGTTTGAGAAGGACCAAATGACTCTTGTCTTTCCATCAATGCTGAAAGCTAGAAAGCTGACAAATAGCTGTCCTGTCTCACTGAAATACAGTTCCTGTGTGTCTGGTCAACCTTAGATACAGATTTTGATTCATGCCATAAGAACTGAGAATTAACATTTTAGTTGCAGTTTATGTCTGTGTGCACAGCTTCCCACTTAAAGAACTGAAGTTAAACCAAGTGTTTGGTGGTGTTACCCAGTTGGAAGCTCCCCAGATACTTTACCCAGAGGAGCTCACGTGCCTCAGTTTYCTTGCTAACAACAAAGGGCAGTTCCACATTGCAGCTAAGAGCAAAATGAACCTAAAAAGTCTTCAAGGTCACTTGCTCTCACTGGTCCTTGGGCTGATGACACAGCTCCACACCTGCTGTTAAGCAGCCTAGGCCTTAAAAATAGCAGTGGTTCCTTGGAAACTGGGTTGGCTTTTTTTTTTTTTTTTTTTTTTTTTTTTTTAAGAAAAAAACAAAAACAAACCACAAAACCCAACAAACCTTTTGCATGCTATGGATTGTTCCTTTTAGGCCCAATGACATTATGTGAGAAACTTCTCACCCTACCTATTGGTCACTGTGGACTGAAGGTTTGGGGTTCCACAACCTCKCTGGGCAATCTGTTCCAATGCTCAGTCACTGCACAATAAAGARGTTCTTCCTCATCTTCAGGTGGAACTTCCTATGCATCATTTTCTGCCCATTGCCTCTTGTCCCATTGCTTGGCACCACCAAGAAGAGSCTGGGTCAATCCTCTTGGCACCYTCCCTCAGGATATTTATGCACATTCATGAGGTSCCTCTCAGTTGTCTTTTCTCGAATCTGAACAGKCCCAGCCCCCTCAGCCTTTCCTCATGAGAGAGRTGYTCCAGTCCCTTAATCATCTTCRTTKTCCTCYGYTGGAGYCACTCCAGGAGCTCCATGTGCCTCTTGTCCTGAAGAGCCCAGAACTGCATGCAGCACTCCAGATGCAGCCTCAGYAATTGCTCTAGGCAAAGAAGTAGAAATATATAGTCACAGCTTCTAGAAATGGCTAGTATGCCCTGATAATCGTGTGTTTCATGATGTCATATAAATGTGGAAAAACAACAGTTCTCTTTGCTCTTCCCTGTCAGTTGGACCATTTGAAAAAAAAAATCCTTGACTGTAATGTGATGAAATGACTTGAAGTTTGCTTTTTCATATAAAAGTTTGTGATTGTAATAAGAAAGCAGTTTCTTTTCAGTGTAATTTGAAACTGCCTTGAAAATGATGCACTTAGCCAGCACAGTCCCTAGCTAAGTGTTACTTCAGACAATTGAAATACGGAAGAAGTAATGAGCTGTGTGTTTGTTAAATCTTCTAGCTAAAAAGAAGAAGAAGCCAAAGCTCTTAAACAAGTTTGATAAGACCATTAAAGCTGAACTAGACGCTGCAGAAAAACTGCGTAAAAAAGTAAGTTTTGAATGTTTCACTCAGAACTCTAGGCAGTGGACAAAAATAAATAAAAACTTGGGGAAAGGGAGAATGAATTTTAGATTACTTTTTGTGAAATTAACTTTATGGAATATTCAGTTAATATTTGTCCTTCAAGATTAATTTCTGCTGGGTAGTTTATCTGAATTTTTTTTAGGTCATAAGTGTACATCTGTTTATGTGTGCTTGCTCACTGTTAACCTTGAAAATACGTAACTTAATCATTGAATTTCTGCTTAAATGGATCACTTGGAACAAGGTTGGTTCTGTCCTATCACTCCTGTCTAGCTGACTACTGAAACCAAGTGCTACCAGAGAACTTATTCTGTGTGTGTTAGCAGGGATCTCTCAGTCAGTGTTCAGATGCCTCAGGAGTGTTTGGTGAAGAGCTTTGAAGTAGGTGTTGTTTTTGYTGAGATTCTGTGTCCTGGGAGTGCCTCTACTGCTCTACAGCTGCTTAGAGGATGAAACAGATGTTCCTGCTTCTCACCAGTGATAGCAAGACCTTGACATCAATCAGTCAGTTTGGATAATCTGGAATTTAATAACTTGACCATGAAAAGCAAACAAAAAAATGCCCCCCAGTAAAAAAACTCTTCAGTCATTTCCCCTTATAGCTTCTAATTTTATTCTTTTATTTCAATATTTCAGAAAAACAAGACCTTTGCAGAGATGTCCCTTTTCCAGATRTGAGATTAAATAGTGAAGCAAGACTGAGGCTGTTGAAAATGAGAGACTATAGGTCTTCTGAACATTGATCTTGTAAACACTCTGATATGCYTCACAGACAGTCCTAGCACATAAAGAACATCTGCAGGTCTTTGTTGGACACTAGATTTGAGGTGGATGAACTATTTTCAGTACAGTGTAATAAAAACCAATTTGGTCATTGCAGGTCCTGATTATTCTTAATTTTCAGGACACACTGTGCAGTTTTGACTTTATCTTACCATCTACACAGCCCCAGAGTTCTGGTAGGTCTGTGATGGAACTGGAGGGCTGTTGCATGGAGAGCTCTAACCTTGGCTGCCACACTGCTGTTTCTCACTCAAAACCTTCTTTATATGTTAGAATACAAAARCAAAAGGAATTTCCATGCTTCCTGTTACACAAGCAGTTGGTRATCAGAAATAGGTGAAATAGAAACTTTTGATTGGCCTGTAGGGCCAGTGTGTTGACTCWTTCCCTGCTGTGTCTCTTGGTTAGTTGGATAATCATGCACATCAAGAAGGAATCAGGATAAATGTAGGAACAAGTCAGATGTGCAWTATTTGAAGACAGCAAGGCAGTTGTGTGTGATAGCCCACTCATATTTACAAAGATGTAAAGAGCTGGAAGTGGCAGCAAGGTCTGTTGCCAAACATTGTCATGCAGTGCTTAGCACCWATTTAAGAGTGGGGCTGGTTCTGCTCAGCTTCCATCTGTGCTTGCTAGTCAACATCCATCACRAGATCAGCATCCATCATGAGAATACCACAGTTCCATTTAGACTTGTGTGAAATGTCCTGGGAGACATTGTTATGAAAAAACTTGGAAGATACAGCCATATGCTATGGATGAATCTACAGGATTTTCCCTAGAAAAGCTGTAGTTATGATACTGTTCATTGTGAGAGGTGTGCAGAGAGAAAATTTTCATCTGTGACTAGAACTTTGCTTGTATTCTGTTATATTCTGTCTGGATTTTGTTATTAGCAGTAGAATCGTTACATATATATATATATATATATATATATATATATATATATATGGGCAGATTATTGTTATCACAGCATTTTGTCCAATCAACAAAGGGAAAGTGAGTAAAATAGGAAAAAAAATTCTTCTTAACCATGGAAAGTAGATTATATTGGTTCATAAATAATGACAATTTCTCTTAAATAAAGAAGGCAATCTCAACAAAAGTATGAGTGAAAACTGTTGATTCAGTCTGCATTGTTTTGTGTTTGTTCTTTAATTGTGAAATTAATGTTATTAGGTCATGCATCCTTCAGCATTTTTATTAGATAGACTTGCTGATAAATATCTCTACTTTCCAGGGGAAAATTGAAGAAGCTCTAAGGGCCTTTGAAGCATTAGTGAACCAATATCCACAAAGTCCTCGAGCAAGATATGGGAAAGCACAGGTACTTAAAAAAAAAAGCTGATACATGTTTAAAAAGCTAAAATAAACGTTTTTGTTTTTTACCAATAGAGTTATAAACACCAGTCAGAATTAATTTATAAATTTATGGAAGTTTTCTAGGTTAAAAAAAATGTGATCTGTCATATTGTATCTCTGTCAGTCAGCTATCCTTCCCCAGTTATTTTGGCAGCTTTCATGTAACTTCAGTGGGAAGTGTTGTAAATAACAAAAAATAAGGTACATCCTGTAGATCTCAGGAGAACTGTCAGGCAAATGGCAAGAGATAAATACCAACTAATGGCCCAGTGCAGGAACAGCAGGCAGAACTTAGCTGTTACATACTATTTGCTGTAGATGGTAAATCAACACATCAGTCAACTCTGGGATAAATGCTGCTTTTTGCTCTAGTGGGAATAGAGAAGAGGATTTGGAGTTTTTTGAGAGAGTGTTAAAGGATAAAGAACACAAATTCTTAGGCAAGGAGGCTTAATTAGCTTTTCCTTGTGGAGTGATTCATGTTTCAGGTGTTTCCCTTCAAAAAAATCCCAGACCCAGGAGGCATCAGAAAATAAACTCTGCATTCATAATACTTCTGAGCTGTGTTGGGATGTCTCAGAAGGGAATAATCTTTGAATTTTCATAAGCAGTAGGATAATCCTGCTGCACTAGGAGTAATAAAAGATTCCTTKAACTCATGTTAATCAAGATGAACATGGTGAAGTCCTCACTGTAGGAAGGAATTGTGCTGTTAGACACTTGATGAGGACCTTGGAGTCACAACCAGTTTCCACCTGGTTAATAATAGTCATGTTAAAACCAAAGCCCTGATTATCCAAAAATCTATCACAAATCTGTCACATGAGTACTTGATACACAGCAGACCAAGTGCTCCAGTCGTCTCTGTGAGTGACAATCTGCTGAACTCTGCCTCTTTACAGTAGGATACCACTTTGATCATACTTGTGATGGACTTACCTACGTTAAATTACGATTTTAATATTTACCATTTTTTTACAAATCTGGTCATTATATTTAACAGAATATGCTTCCTGCCTCCTCAGTGGCTTTAGGGAGAAGGGTGGATCACTGCAGCCCATTGTGAAGCCTATTCTCATTCAGAACCCCCATCTCAGTGACCCAACTTCGTTTGTCCATTTACAGCAATTTGTAGTCGCCCACTGCTACTTCAGTAAACCATAAAAGGTCAATATAGACCAAGATCTGAAGTAATAATTAGATGCACTTTCTGGGAATGTATAAAAACAACAATGAATTCATTTTGAGGGTTCGTGTTAGTCATTTTACTGAACAGTCATATTAATGTTACCAATAACAATTTTATTGAATCCAGTATGTGCAAGTTGGAGCTGTTAGAAGGAATAGAAAAACCATGGGCTTTAGATAGGTTAATTATTTTTAAGATTTGAATTGTAACACAGTATTATTTTAAATCAGTATTCMTACCAACAAAATTAATTTAAATTTGCTATTTCCCATCACTAACTAAAACTGCAGAGATGGATAAGGTTAAAGGCCTTGAAGGTTAAAGGTAAAGAAGGTCAAGAATTCACCACAAAAACTCACCATTTCTGTAAAACATGAACCAATATTACAGCCTAGTTTTGTATAGTTGTTTTTTAATAAGACACAAAGATTGTTTTTTTTTTTTTCTGGGTCTTTTAATAGATTTAAAAGACAACTGTTTCTAAAAAAAATCTGCAAAAACTTTTATCATTGGTGTGTTTTTCARAAATATGAACAATTCTTTATTTGATGTCTGAATTACACTTGTACCAGATAAAATAATACTCTACAGAAATCATTAACAGCTTTAGAGATTAAAAGAACAATAGATAGGTTTTTAACTTCTTTATATGATTTATAGCATCTATACTGGTGAAGTTATGCAGATTTTCTGTTGATGGTTTTTGCTTCTTCGTTATATATCTTTAATATTCTTTGTCCTGGAATTCCTTTTAAAAAAGGAAAAGTAAATTCCTAGTGAATGTACTTCAGAAAGAAGAAATTATTGCTTAAAACTGGTTTTTGAAGTTATCATCTCTGAAAGGTGCTTGATTAACTGCTCGGCTGAGTAACCATGTTGTTTTGTATTTCCAATACTATGTTTTCAAGCAACTCAAGGAAAAAATTAAAGAACAGAGGTGCAAAAAGATTTTAGAAACTTGCTATAACATATACATCTAGCACAAGTTGAAGAAATTTCATTTAATGGGTGTGTTTGATGCAACAGTGAATTTAAATAGGCCAAAAAGAGCTTCTGCACTGTCATGCTTGTTATGCATCTCCCCTGACTCTTGACTTAAGAAAGAAGATAAGCCAATAAAATAAAAATATTTGGGAAGAATGCATTGAAGACATGAGAATGCATGCTTTTATATAAACAATTCAAAGTAAGCCTTTAAAAATTCTGCAGTTGAGACATAATCTTTTTCAGCTATGGAAGCAAAGTATGAATGTGCACTACCATAGGTGAGATCAGTCATAACTTCTGTTAGATTCACTCTAGAGAGCTCATGTATCCTTTGGTCTGCTTCTGAATTTGATGAACAAGTTTAGGTTTTGAAGCAGTTGTAGGGTACATATTCTATCAATATATGCAAGGTAAAAGGCAATTCCTAAATGTAAATAAATTTGTGTCAGAATAGATGAGAATATTTGTTGGTGTGTTTTGATCTGYGTATTGCTTCCAGACTGAGGCTTAGTTTACAAATCGTCCATAGGCAAAGTTTTGCATTTCTTCTGTGTTATTAAAACAGATTGCTTCATTTGTTTCTGAAAGCAAAAATTGTGAATTCTACAGATATTGATCAAAAATCTGTGTTAATGCATGTTTTAGGTGCAACTTTTCCTTTCAAACAATTTTTAGGTAACAAGATCTAATGGTAATTCTAATGTGCTTTCCCATAAAGCACAACCCATTCTAACAATGCCTAACCCAGGCATAATTTGCCTGGTAAGAAAACAGTTGGATTAAAGACTAATGGATTATTAGGTGTCCTAATAATGGTTTTGTGATTCTTTCTAGTCTGAGGATGACTTAGCTGAGAAAATGAGAAGCAATGAGATGCTTCTACAAGCTATCAACACCTATGATGAGGTGGTTAGTCTGCCGAATGTCCCTTCAGACCTGATAAAACTGAGCYTGAAGCGAGAAGCAGACAGGCAGCAGTTCCTTGGTAAGTTTTGAGAAGGGCATAAAAATTACAGAAGTTGTGTGAGCAAGGATTTCTGAGATCACTAAGGATTTTAAAGTGCCAATTCCATTGAATTTTTTGTTGGACTTTTCTTCCTAGTATCTTAAATGAGAACCATTTTTATATTATTTAATTTTCTTCTAGGGAACTAGTGTCCGTAATTTATGATAATAATGCCTGTAAAAAGCTGCAGTAGATCCTGTGTGAAGCTATGATGAGATGTGGTCAAAAATTTTAATTGACAAAGAAGAAATTCTTTTTCTATACTAAAGCTGAAGAAAATCAAGAGGAACTTAGTGGCATAAGTAAACGTTCAGTAAACACAGAGAAGAATGGAATTGAACATGGGGATAACATCCCCAAGATTTAGGTTTAGATTCTAGTTTTAGATATCAATTCTGTAATGTATGAGAAATTCTGATTAGAATATGAGGCACAATCAAGAGTTCTGGCTTGGATTTTTAATATCAAGTTGTTTTGATCTTGCTGTTCCTTAGCAAGACCTCATTTAGGAAGTCAAGGGACATACTTAATTTTAAGCACGTAAAGCCTGATAAATTTCATAATGTAAGTAGGGTAGAACCACTACTTAATACTAGAAATTAATTGAACTTAATTTATTAAGGTGAAGTTTATATGTTTRCTAMGTTCTGTCCAGTGCTTTGCTGTCTRTATGYGATAGAGCAGACAAAGGTTAAATAATGTTRTTTCTGCACTGTGAAGGGTTCACCACAAGAGGCTGCCATAACACTGCATGATTGAAGTGATTCCCTGAAAAATTCCTGGTACAGCTACTACACCTTCAGTGACAGCCAGGCAGCTGAATGTGCTCCTGTCTACACAGTTTTTTTCARGTTCTCCTTCTTGATCATCAGTTGAAGTGGAGCACTTCCCTCTGATTTGTGTTTCCTTAGATGTTGTGTAAACGCCTTGCTACTGCTTCTCGTATCTTCACTCGTAATTAAKTCTTGTTCAATCAAATCAGGTCGCATGAGGGGTTCCCTGGTCACTCTGCAGAAATTGGTTCAGCTGTTTCCTGATGATACTTCATTCAAGAATGACCTTGGTGTTGGCTACCTCTTGATAGGAGATAACAGCAATGCTAAGAAAGTATATGAAGAGGTGAGTTTCCAATCCAGCCAAGGAAAAATATTATTTACATTCATATGTTCATTTGAAAGATTGATTGATTTTAACTTTTTAAATTGTTAAACATGTGAGATATTGAAGGGTTATTACAGAAACAATATTTTTTCTAGTGCAGTTATCTTCTAATTTTGATTAATATTTTTTGATACTGTGATGCTAAGTTTTTCCTCATTGATAGGGGAATTATTTCCATATAATTGAATTATTTTACCTTCTGGTAGTTAGGTATGGAACATTGACAGCACATCTAGATGTGTTGTGTGTAATGTATAATATGWAATGCATAGTATAAAATAGATAACCAAACTTCCAGCCAAGGAAAGCAGAAGTAAGCCAGTTGTTTTACAGGAGCAACATCTCTAACCATGTGATCAAGTAGATCACTACTCACAAAGGTATTTAGCCTTAGCTTTTTCARTGTTTTATAGGCAGCTTAAAATCTGTTTTTCTTTCATGATGTTTGTAGTGYGGACAATTAGTTGGATTTTTATTTCTGTCTTACACTATTTTTATCTGGCTGGGGAAACTTCACTACCAGGAAAGGCCACTCTGCTCCTGTCATTTAGGAACTCTGCTAACATCTGGAAACTGTCTGACAGATGTGGAGTCTGACATCAYTGGTAGAGCACAAATTGCCAGAGCTGACCAGGAATGGTCTTGTTGAGGTTGGCACACTTGTGGTGCCTGTTTAGGACCGGCCTGGGACGGTGCTTGGCTGGTTATGTAGGTTGGAAAGGAAACAGCAGGATTAGTGCCACCTCTGAAAATAAAGGCCCACTTTTCCATCCCCCACATCTGGGAAGCTGAAGGGATTCTCATCTCTGGGAGCTTCTCAAAGAGAGAAGGAGGATGTTTGACCACATGGTTGGAGACAGGAGCCAAACGCTGGGAGTTTCAGGTTTTTTTCACAAGCTCCTCTGGTAGTCTCAGATGTTGCCACAATAATGTTTGCTTTGCTGCTTTGACTACTTTTTMGGTTCCTCCATGAAACATTTCTGTTCGACAATTTTTGGCTCGCTATCAAAATTTCTCAGAGGATTGGAAGCATCGGCTTTTAAAGATAGAATTTATTTAACAAACCTGCTATTCAAGCTGCAAGGAACTCGAGAAAACAAAAACATTCTCCTTTTGGGCAAGATTTTCCTTTGCAATTATTCAGTTGCTGCAAACAACATAGTTAGAATTTATCAATGATCACAGGGATTTTTATATGTAGCAGAAGGTCATGAATTTGCTATATAATTACTTTGATACTGAGTTTTGTATACTTCAGAATAAATATGTAGGGCTCTGATTAAGAACAGATATGCAAAAATAAGAATTGGTGTGCTTTTAATGTATTGTTTTCCATTCTTCTGTAGACTTTATGCAGTAATTACTCTATTTTGCAGTTCACTATTGCTGAAATAGTGTATGCTCTGTCATTGTAAAAGGAAGACAAGTAATTTTTTTTTAAAGAACCTGGATTTTTTTTTTTWAATCATGGTGGGATTGTCCATATTTTAAGTATTTCTCAGGCTGAATTCCAACGCAGTAATGTAATTTTTTTTGTTGTTATTCAGGATAAATTTACACTAAGGATTTTAAGTAAATATACATAGCCAAAGAAACAGGCAGAATCCTGTGTGTACCTGCTTTGGTTCTGGTTCTGCTGAAGGCTTCCTGCACGATTTTTGGTAGATTGCTTAGGGGCTCCATGGCCTGCTCTGAACTGCTTTGCTCAGCTRTTRCAGTGGACATTTAGAAAGTGCTTGRTGTGTGATTTTGAGCTCCTACCATAGGTGCTCAGGTTCTCTGCATGGTAGAGAAAGGGGCAGACTGAATTGTGGCCCGGAGGGCCTCAAGGAGATGTCTTGCTCTTCCCATGATTTTTGAAACAACTGGGAAACTTCTGAAGTGTGACTGAGTCCTACTCACTTGTGTAATCTTTTGATCAGAAAACGTTAAGAGAGCACAAACAAGAGCATGAACTCAGTGCTGCAAAGTAGATACCTCCAGTATTTATGAATCCTGGTTCTGTTTCCCACTGTAAGGATTTTCTTACATTTTATTCAAGTGTTCTTTAATGCAGAAAGCATGGGGATCTTAGAGCTCAGGACAAATGCACAAGATAGTGCATCCCTTATTCAACTTAAGAGCTCAACTTTTTGTTGATTTCCCTCTGGTCTTATCCATGGTTGTCTAACTTCCTGTGTGTGTGGTACTTGTTTATGCTACTCAGGAAAATTCCCAAGTAGTTAAACACTCTTCTCCGTGGAGGAACTTAAACTCCAAATTTCTCATTTCCTGGGAATCTGCTAGATTTGTGGGCAAAAGGTACCTTTACTTCCTGCTCTAACAGTTCAACCTCAATTCAGTGTGACTGATTTGTGTTAAGCAWGGACTGAGCACATGCAACCAGCTGTACCCTTTACAGGCACTGTTCCCTACATGGGATAACAGTACATGCCATTTCAGACCAGACTAACCCTAGCTTGCATCATCACCAGGGAATTAAAGAGAAGCCCAGGGAATCCTAGTAGATGAAAACTTTCAGCTTTTGCTTTACGTTTAATAGTCAGTTTACTTATTTTCCATTCAATTATTATTTTTCTTTCCAAATTTATTACATTTTAGCAACTTATTTTAAAACTCTTTAATATGTGTTTCTACTTTTAGTTACTGAAGCAAAGTGTATAAACAGTGAACTTCTGACCAAGAGAGTTTTTTGTTTCCAGTTTTAGTGTGGTGTAGTATAACTGGCCCAAAATACACTTTTCTAGTTTGTGTTTGCCAGRTTTTTTGCTGAATCACAGATGGAAAATGATGCCCAACTGGAGAGGATTTCAGTTTTGCCTCTAATGTTAAATCATTTTCCTTTGAAAATTGCACTTAGGGACATGAAAACATAATGCTAAAGGGAATTCTTGTAGAATTCAGAGCTATTTTTATTTTTGAAGAAAACTTAACTTTAWAAGTAGTTATCGTAGAATTTAGAACTATTTTTGGTTCAAACATCTACAAATTATAAAAAAGGACAGAGAAAGAGAATTTTATAAGACTGATTACTCTGCTAATAGCACTTTTTCACTCTCCATGCTGAGGCACATGTGCATGGTTCAATGCAGCATTGTAGAGACACTCATAAGCCACCTCTGATTGAGCTATGGCAGGTACCAAAACCAGAATATCCACATTAACACAGTTCTCTGCCCTAGCTAATTAGCCACTGATAGCCCCAGAGGTTAATTTCTATATTCATGATTAATATTTAATGGGCTATGAGCAGTTTAGTAAAACTTATTTCTAAACATAATTAATATTGCATGCAGCAACAGCAACAGAGTAATACAATTTACATTAAATACTTCCAGTGTAATTTCTGCTGATTGTATCTCTTCTGTTCTCTTTAGGGGCTCTGAATGTAGATCATTCCTTAATGCAACTCGGCATAGTTTAAATGAACCGTAATACAGAAAATTCTATTCTGTCTTAATTAATCAGATAGCTTTATCCTATAGTTAAAGAAACTGTAACAAAATTATGTGGCTAATAAATATTTCTGTCAGTCATTTCATTTCACCCTGCAGGTACAGATTCTTGGATCATAATAATTATACACAGGATGCTGTAGTCAAAGGCATGAGATGCAGAAGCTGGTAGTGATTCTTATACTAGGGATCAAACTCATCCTTACTGTGGTACTTTTTCCTAATAATGTCTCATACTGTGGACTTCAGRTAGATTCTCAAATTGTTTGTTCCTTAATAACAACTCTTTTCTGTGAAAGAAGTGAAATGCTGCCATTTTTAAATCACAACATTTTATACCCTCGTTGTGTGATTCTTGGTTTTGCTTGGATGTAGATGGTGTGCATGAGATTTGAGACGAGAGAGGAACTGGTCCAGAGAACTTATGATTTTGCTTGCAATTATTTTGATTGAAAAATGATGTTAGACAGTGACTGGAAAAGGCAGAGGGAAATAACTATAATGTATGCTGGCATTTTATCCATGGCATGAGTTTAGTAGCTTCAGAAATGGATTTAGGCAAGTGAAATTGCTCATCTGTCTGTTGTTKTGTATTTAGCAGCTGTCTAGACATTCAGTAGGTATCAGCCTCTGTAATTCCACTGATTGCCAGGCTCCTTGATGATCCTCACAGGCTGAGGTCTAKCCTGATAAAACTGTCCACCCTTATTTTAAGTAGATAAGAGGTGTGAAAACAGATTAACTTGGCCATGTAATTGATGTTGCATAGAGCTACGAATTATATTGAATATCTGCATTATAGAAGTTCAGAGCTGAAAAGTAGATCAAGACATTCTCTCTAATTTTCCCCTTGGCTGAGACAGACCAAATGCACTTAAATTATCTGACTGGTGTTGGGGGTGCATGTTTGAGAATTCAGGTTGGCCAGCTTCTTTCACACCTCCTGCCCTGAAGCAGTGCCCCATAAATTGATCCTTTCCTACAGCCGTCCCTGTACTCACAGATCTTTCTTTTCCACAGACTCCGTGAAATATCCATCTCTGGACATTTGCTCATGAGTTTCCCTTCCCACAAAATTAAACCACTTTGTAACTTGRATATTACCTGAATCTTGCTGAGGGTACAAAATCTTTTAGCTGAATTTAGCATGCTCAGTCTTGTCAAAGAGTGCAGCACACAACTATGCAAGAATAATTTATCCATCACCTTTTAATGTGAAAGCACTTTGAATCACTATTGCATTAGACTTTTTATTGCCTTCTTTCTCATGGCCAGAAAAGTGCACACTGYTCCAGAGAGTGCTCCAGTTTACCAYTGTGCTGAGAGTGCCCTTGGTRTTCCAGGGTTTGCCCATCCCTGTCACACCATGCTGGCATTACTGTATAGCTTCTTCCCAGATTGTAGTCATTATGCTTCATGTATTTTCTCTTGCAAAAAAAAAAACTGGTTTGCCACTGGTTGAAACCTATCTAATTTTAAACTATTTCAGGTATGTTTCTGCTGTAGAGTTTTTTAAGAGTTGCTGCTTTCCTTCAGATTAGTCAAACCTGGAACAAGTAGGTCTTAATGGTGGGTTTAATTCTGTAATGTAGCATGTTGCACCTCAAGAAGTGCAGAAAAGGGTGGGCAACTGAAAAATAAAGCAATTTCTGTTGAAATATTTTTTCTTCTGAGACTTCAAAGATTGGCTTGTCTGGAGAAAGAGCAAAAGTGAATGWGGAAAAGCACAGACAAGCCAAGGGTTTACCTGAAAGTCAGTAATGGAAGAAAATACCATTGCTTTACTAAATAGTAGCGTGTACACAGGTTTGTTCATTTGCACAGATGCATACAGGTGTATTTAATTCATTTGCTCTCAAACAGGTTCTAAGTCTGGCTCCAAATGATGGTTTTGCCAAAGTGCATTATGGCTTCATCCTGAAGGCAGAAAACAAGATAGCAGAGAGCATACCCTATCTACAGGTACTTTCCTACCCACAGCAAATGTTTTATCAGCAAAAAGTAGAACTGTAACGTATAAAATGTGTCAGACTAGAAGTGTACTAATTACAAATCACTGCTTAAGCTATTTGTTGGAGTTACATTACTATGTCACTGCTTATGAACTGGAACACATTTGTACACTGAAACTCGTAAATTCTTAAACATMAAATCTTTGTTTTCTTAATGGTTAATACAAAGTCTGGGGCTGCGAACCTCAAATTTTTTTGAGGTTGGTAGTATGCTGCAAACCTAAGCTTCTTAAAAGATCCAGAGAAGGCTTACGTAYACTTCTGTGTGTTTGGGAAGAAATACTCCAAAATAAAACCTTGATCCAGTTTCAAGAAGTACCTGTGTATATGTTTATAGGGTCAGAGGCATTTCTGAATATGCAGTCTCTTAAATTCCAGGTTACTGGGGGGATAACATTTTCTACCTGATTTCATAGCCTGTCTCTTTCATAGAGTTAACAACCCATTAACAGCAATCAGATGAACTCTTTCAGGAGTCCTATTGAAGTTTCTCTTATACCTTTCATTTTTACATATTTATTTAATTYTTAGGAAGGACTAGAGTCTGGTGACCCTGGCACAGATGATGGACGTTTTTATTTTCATCTGGGTGATGCCTTACAGAGAATGGGAGACAAAGAGGTACATGTTTAACACGTTCTGGCTTTAAAATTTAAGTCTCTGAGGGATGKCAGAATCCAGAAAAAGCATTTAATGATGGGTTTAATGAAAACATAAATAGTCCTATTGAAACAACAATCCAGCATATGTGTGAAGTCAAGATGATCAACAGCAAAACATCTGTCWTTGGCATAACAATACAATCTTTTAGCATCCCTTGCTTTAAATTTAACTTCAACTTTTGAAGCTGGCATTGGGCAGGTTGAAACAAGGGACTAAAAATTTGCAAGAATTTAAGATGTGTCTAGAATCTTAAGAATTCTGCTTATATCACTAACAACTCAGATTTTAATGAGAGTTTAAAAAATCAGTTGCATGTATATTTATGTATAGAAGTTCTTGGATAGCAGTGTTGTGTAAATCTTCCCTTTTTTCCAATGAGTATGTGATAAATGAGGACCATGAGAGGACTGAATGTATGGGCTGAGTTATGAATTTTTTTCGGTAACTAAATTAGTCAATTGATCAGGAAAACAGAAATTTGTACAATGTATCTGTTGAGTGCCCAACAAAAACCAACACATGACACTGGAAGCCATTAAGAGTTTCTACTTAGTTTATTTGAAACCAAATGATACTTAAAAGCCARATTTAAATATGTGAATTAGCAGTGCTCTCATGGTAGGGGAGCAAAGGGCCTTTTTTKAAGATTTGAATTAGTAATGAACTTTAATATGGGCATGAATTTGGAACAACAGCAAAAAAACCCATTCTGATCCCTAGGTGGGAAATAGGAAAAAAATAAGCATCAAAAAGCTTAGTAGAAATAGCCGTGGAAATCACTGCTTTTTAATTACTTATCTAGTAATATCTGCAATATCAGTATCTAGAACACTGTAAACAATGCTGACCTCTTGAATACCATGGCCCCATCAGTAAGTGATTCCCAGTATGAACTGTAGATAAATGGGCTGTGATGCAGCCTCTGTACGTGGTCTTCCTCAAGCCTAATTCATCAGGTTAGCTTTTTTCTTGGTAATTCATGGAACTTTTATTATGATACTTTATACATGTGGTAGATCTAGAACCCTGAAATGTAATATCTGCATTTTAAGTTAGATTGCTTTCTCTGCAATACTCTTCCAGTGAGATTTTTTTTTTTTGATTGTTCATTTGTGAGAATTAGTTTACTTCATTTTGCTTAGAAACACAGACACATAGAGAGTCTGCTTTCATASTCTATCTAGCTCTGTCTCCTCTCAAATCCCTGTACATTTCCAGGGTTGAATTTTTGAGCCTAGAACATCCCAATGCAATGTTTGACTAAAGATACCATGCAGATGTAATTAAAATACATCATCTCTAAGGTCAGGATAATTATGTGTTAATGTTTATGGAGTTAATGGCTGAATCTGCTGTAGAAAAAGTTTAATTAATGACAAATTATCTTCTTGGGATAGAGGACACTTCTAAATTTATCAGTGGAAAGTCCATTGTTCAGCTAAATTTTTCTCATTGACCTTGCTAGACTTGCTGAATTTCAAGATTTAATCAAGGAAACAGATCAATATTTAAGTTACATATGAAATTGCTATCACTGAAGGTTTGTTGAAGTGAGATATTAATCTATTAGAGCTAAATTAGGAGTTATGAATGTGGCCTTGGGAAATGTTAGGGAAACAATATTGGCTATGCCCTTTCCCACTGTAATTTGATCAAATGCCAAATTGGCATAAGAAAAGATAAATTAAAACCATGGAAGTTATTACAGAGCAAAGTGTTCTCCACACAAAATAAACTGAGTTGAGTTTGTTGAGTGCTTCTCAAACAACTTCGGTCCTGGATAAGGGAGCAGCACTGTTGTAGCTCTCCTGAATAATGCCATGCTCCACTGCCAGGACCTGCATGAGGAAAGAAATGTTTCTTACAGACTCTGGAGAATGKGAAGGATGAGTGAGGCAGCCTGATCCTCCCCCATCCTGGTAAAGGGAACTTTCATTGCACAATTCTTCTAATAAATAAAGATAAAGTAATTAATTTTTTAAACTAGTTATTTAATTAATTAAATAAGGATTATTCATCGTGATTATAGATGCTGTGTCTTAAAGAGCAGCAACATTCATACTCATCACTCAATGGCTGAAACAAGTAAATAATTCCCCTTATTATTTGGGTTGACTCCAGACATTGCAAATGAAGGCAGGCAGTCAGCATGGASAAGCTGTTGATATCTCACTGCTCTTACAATTTTGGGGAACAAATGGTATARGTCATGATGCTTCCATTTCAGAGATTTAACCAAAATAACAGCAAGATCTGAAGATATATTGTGTATTACCCAAAGGGAATACACAATTTTTTTTCACCCATGCCCAAGTTTACTGAGCTTCTCTATGGGAACAAAGATGACAGTTTATATATGATCTGCTGTTATTCTGTTCATCCACACTGCTTTTCTGTACTTCAAATAAATACCTTAAGGCAGCATAGTATTGCAGACTTTGCTCCATGCTTCAGGAGAGTTATAAAGATCAAAGTAGAACATTTTTTTAAAACTTGAGGAAAATTTACAGACTATTGAAGAGGACTTTGTCCAGTTTCTGTTCAAGGCAAGGATTGCTTCTTGCTTCAGTCTCTCTGCTCTGAAATTTTTATTCCCGTATTTCCCTACTTGTTTTTCCTGCCTTTTTTTAGTTTCTGGTATTTTGGGAGTTTGTTTGTTTGGGTATTTTTTTTTGTGTTGTCTGAAATATAGCAGCTGTAGCAGCAATGCTGGACAGGAAGGAGCCAGCTCTGTATAGCTTTTCTCAGCACATGGTTTGTCGCTACAAATGCTGCATCTTTTCTTTCCGAGCATCTCATTTACTTTCTTTGCAAAACTTTGCTTTTCTGCCATACAGGGGTAAAACAAGTTGTGTAAAGGGAGAGTAAATATATGCCAAGATCTAATATTAACTTCGATAGGTTTCTACCATGTGGTCAGTTTTGGTGTGGCAACAAATATTTGTAGAAACTCAAGTGCATATAAGTATTAAATAATTAACAGTTTAGATCCACAAAGTCATTGGTGTTTTCATCATCACAGCATCTGCATTGGCAGCAGAAGATGTGCCAATTAAATCRTCTTTAATTTGTAGGTAGAGGATTGAAACAGAGAAAATGAGGTTGACCAAGATGAGAAACAATTGGATCATCCAAACCCAAGGGCAGGGCATGAGTTACTGGTCCATATTTGATGTGRATGGTTGTGAGAAGATTATCCTATTTTGTTAGTGTTGGATTGGACTCATTTGACCAACTGATTTTATTATTTGTTTTTTTTTGTTTGTTTGTGTTTCCTTTTTCCTTCCCTTTATTAAAAGAATAACTCCAGCCAAAGAGACAATCTGTTATCTTGCCAGAAGATATTACTTTTTTCCTGTAGGAGCTTGGCTGATATGAATTTGGTCATTAACAACTGCAATGTTTTAGGCATACAAGTGGTATGAACTTGGATACCAAAGAGGTCACTTTGCATCAGTTTGGCAGCGCTCCCTCTACAATGTCAAGGGACTGAAAGCTCAGCCTTGGTGGACAGCAAGGGAAACTGGATACACAGAACTGGTGAAGGTAAGGCTTCCCTGTACTTTCATTTTTATTAAAATTACAACTATAATCTAAGTTATTAAGCAGAGAAAATRCTGATCAATAAGGTCAGATCTACTGATGAATTCCAGACAGCACTATCAGACTGGGCACAAGACTTAAGCAAGGTACAATAAAATAATCTCATACATTTTCAGATTTGAGAATGGGTACAGGATGGCTGAAATTATTACTAAATACAAAAYTTGCATAGTAGACAAATGTAGCATCTCAAGTGGAAAATGACAGCAAACTTTGGTAATGTCTGGAACACCCGCTGTGAATTTGTAATAAGACAGAAATGGCTGTGCTTTTCAGCTCTTGTGTAATATTTAGTGATTTTGGAAGCTTTTAATTGCATAAGAGAAACATAAGAAAAGAGATTTCCAGTGATGGTTTTAGCAAAAGATAATAACACAAAATTTACATTCTTCAAAAGGTTTTTTTATTTATTTAATGCAAGGCAAGTAGTGRGGTTATTGTTCATAACAATAGCTTTTCTTTCAAAAATTGCATTATTCTGATTCATTTATTATAATTCTAATAATAATTCCTAAAAAAATCAAAAATTAGGGAGACCCTTTTTTTCCTGTATATTTCAATTACTGATGTGTGGTTTAGAGAAACCATTATGGATAAATAATTTAAACCCAAAAATATATATTTGTAAGGAACAAATTCCTTTAGAGTGTTTTTTTTTTTCTTTATACTTTGTTACATAGCATGTTAAAAAAAAAAAAACACTATGGAAGGGTGATTTTATTTGAAAAAGAAGTTTAAAAAGGAAGATTGCTTCTTGTTATGGTTTTAATGGCAACATAAATAAGGCTATAAATTTAGATTAACCTGTGATTCTCCAGTGTAATCTCAGCCACACCAAAAAGCAGTGAGTTTTATAGACTAGCACATGAAACGTGCTCATATTGAACTCATTCTTGAGGTGTGTGGGGGAGTGGATGCTTTTTGCCATAAAAGATATGGAGAAACTGGGAACTTCTTCACCTGTTTCTGTCAAACAAAAAGGAAAAACGTATTATTTAGTTGTTGTTTTAGAGCTATGTGCAGTGTTGTTTTACACTTCCTTACATGTAAACCTTCCAAATTCCTATGGCACAGAAGGTAATGCTCCATTCACCCTTGGCATGAGTCAGGTCTGAAGGGTGAAAGAATTCAGCTCCTTATATAAAATGGCCAGAGCTCCACCTTGAAGGGTTTTTCTTCAAATGAATCAGTCCATATATGGAGGTCTTGGTTTGGATCAGTGTCTAGAGTGGCTCCTAGAAGAGCTGCTCAGAAAACCAGCAAGGACAGAAATTCACTCCTGACCTCCACAGTGCAACTGCCTCTCTGGAACTCAATGATACCTCTTCATTCCAGTCATTTGGTGGTACATGATTTATCAGCAATATGTCACTGAATCTGGATTAAATTGTGACTGGTAATTTACTTGCACAGGTATCACAATRTGGGAGTGGTAAGAGTGTTCTTCAAGATAACATTCCCCATTTAAAGTATAAACCCAAAATGTAGTTGTACACATCAAGACAAATATCTGTATTGTTATGTTTCCCCTGTAATAACAAACAATGCTGCAAGCAAGACTAGAAGTAGGAGTCTTCAGGAAGTGGCAAAAAATCATGGATCACCTTAGTTTTACTAATTACTGAAGTATTCTAATTTCTGTACGTGGTTTAGTTAAAAAAAATATTTCCCCTTCTCACAGAGCAAAAACCAATCAACAGTCATTTCCTACTGCTTCATCTCATTACATTCCTCTTAGATCTGTGTGGGAAATACGGAAAATGTTCCCAAATCCCAGTAATATAATCCCATATGGATATCTGCTGTACAGAGCATTGGAGGGCCTGACTCTCTCCCTGTGTTTTACTGCTTCTTAAATGTGATTGAGCTATATTCAATAATTTGGTAGCTTAATAATGCTGAATGAGCATTTATTTGTGGCTGAGGCAGTAGCAAAGCAGAGTTCTTTGGTTCATTCCATTCACCAGCACAGCTGTGGTCAGTGGCATCTTACAGCACAGACCTGGCTTGATTTTGTTACAGAGGCTCATCTGGTTTCTTGAGTGTAGAGATGGAGATGTGAATTTTGGCAGTTGTTTTTTCCACAGAAAGCCTAAAGAGAAAATAGTTGTTTTTCAGTATTTTATTAACTTACTAATGAGGGACATTCAGCTCAACTAGCTGTTGTCATACAGATGTGAGACACATTGTCCATGCTAGTGGCCTTGTATACAAGCCAGAAAAAAAGACTATTTCCACAGGGTGATTCATTTTTTACCATGTTAAATATGGTCTAAGCATGGCATGTCTCCCTTTCTGGTGTTAACTTTCCTACTGCTTTCTTTACTGTAAAAATGAGGCCWGAAGCTTAATTTCCTGATGGGCAAGATTAAAAACCTACAGTCTCATGCTTTATTTTATTTTAATAAAATCTGCTTGCCTGGATGTGTTAAGGAAGAGAGTTTTGGGTTGGGTTTTGGTGGTTTTTTTTTTTGTTTGTTTGTTTGTTTTTGTTTGTTTTTTGTGGTTTTTTTTTAGTTTTTTTTTTATTATTTTTTGAGGGGGAGGCAGGGAAGACAGAATATCTCAGTAGCACTTATCAGGACATGGTAAATCTTAATTAGTGCTGAAGGGAAGTGGTTTTTTTAATCTCTCTGCAGCTCATTGAGGCTTAATGTGATTCCYTGAAAGAACAGGAAGAAGCACCTGATTTCTCAGGGAGAAGAAAATATAAACCTTTATATTAGGAAGGGTGTGGTAGGGGATTTATGTAAAGGTATTCTGCTAATGTTTCTGATTTACAGTATTTTAGACCTCTGGATCTGAGGTTCAAGAAACTGTCTTTCTCTTTTGATCTCAGCTGAAAGGAAACCTTGCTTTTATCTTTGGAAAYCTGTCCTTTTCCCTTGGGACAATTATCTTTCCTCAGCCAGCCTTACTGAGTCATTGCATCTTTCTCCAGTACCTTCTGGAGACCCTCAATTAGAACATTATTCTATTCTGGTGTTCATTTAATAAAATAATAAAAGAGTTACGGTGGTGTTGGATCCTAGAGACTTTTCACTGGTCTGAATTAATGCACAGGCAATGACTTAAGTAACTTTGTCCTTTCTGCATGTTATGTCCTTTGGCTTTTGGAAAGGACTCAGAGGATGCTTTGCCAATATATTACTACAGTGAATAGCTGATTGATTAAGGTAGATCTTGTGTTGTTGATTTTCTCTGATGGCTTAGATTTGATTAATTAAACTTTCAAGTACAGCAAGAAAAGTGCAGAAAGACAACAAAAGTATTGGCAGCAGCACATATCTGTATAGTTTTCCACAGACTGACAGCTGGGYCTTAATGGTTTAGGTAACAATGGCTAAACATTCATAGCTGAGGGAGAAATTAAATTGAAATATGTATTTAAAGTGTGGTTGGGTGCTTTAAGGGGAGACTTRTGTTGAAAAGAGCAAAGATGATGCACACAAGTGCTGATGTTTAAGCACTGTGAGTGGGTGAATGGGTGCAAGGAATCTCTTTACAAAGGTTTAAAACACTGCCCCTTCCTTGGGAATTATCAGTGGAGATGCAGTAACTGATTGTGAATGCTTTCCTGTTCTGTTTAAGTACATTAAACTCTTCCCCATGATTTTATTTTAAAGTTCAATRGATTAAAGTGGATGTGTGGTCAGTAGTTATGCCTCACGTGAGGGGTARCAAACTCTTAATCTCTTCCTCTGTCATTTATAACCATGCATTGAAAAGGTCTGACAGCACAGAGTAAGGATACCTTCAATATAATAGCTTCACAWAAAAATAAACCAATATTAAAAATTCTCTATTTAAATAAAATCTACATTACTGCCAGATGTACAGCAACTGTAAACTTCAAGTGTTGTTAGGAATTGTATTTAAAAAGCCATATGGAGGTTTATGGGAATCAGCTGCCAGCAAACAAGTACATATGCTCCCAGTGCTGGTTGCCTCCTGMTTTTTCACTTCTAATCAGGGTGCTGCACCAAATATAATACAAATTTTTTGCTCTAATCTGTAGCTTAAATCCTTACATATCACGGAGCCATAAATATATTTACCTTTTTTCCTGTAGATACCAACTCTTGGATCAAGAGCTGTAAGTCCAAGTCCWGGACTTAGACATTATGTTTTAATAGTGTTTTTGTTCTTACTATTCAAGGTATGCCTGAGAGTGTGCAGGGAGACCAAGGCTGAGCAGTGTTTGAACTCCCCACTCTTTCTCCCTAGGAGTTGTCTGYTGCTCATTATAAAGCACTATTAGTGTATTTTACAGATGGGGTCCATGTTTTCGGGACAGAAACCCTATTGATTTCTGGGCAATTTATGTCTAAAATGGTTGAGGATTTAGTTCAAAATCGATGAGATGTATTCAAATAAATTTGTATCCARCATGCTGGGGAAGGAGCCTTTAAASACAAGGACAAACACTCACCTTTATAGGATAACCTTCAACCTGTGGCACTTGAGAGAGCAGAGATGACAAAACAGCTGTTGCCTGCAATTCCTTGGACCAGCAGTGCTCTTCAGGCATCATCTTGTCTGCATGGATGAATRCTCCCTCTTACCTCTTTTCAGCTGAGGGAGTAGGAGGAGTTTGAGGAAGCACAGAAGAACTTGTACTAKCTCTTAAAGTTTTCCAGTTTTGTTGCCCTATATCACTTTAAATTGAGGCTGCTGTGMGTGTAGGTTATTCTTTTCTTTCTCTTGTTCAGACAGTGCAAAASCAGGTACTCAAGCTGGCATTTCCTTTTGTGGCTACAATAATGCTGAATAAGTAGCAGCACTTACTGTATTCATCTCTGATTCAGGGGAAATTTTCAATCTGTTTTTGTACCCTACATTTTGTAAAACTCAGTTTTCCAAAGATCTTCAAAGAAACAAACAAACAAACAAAAAAGCCCCACCAAAACAACCCTCTACTTTTTAACTTAATGTGAACTGTTAAATGAGCCTTATAAAAACCRTCAGTGAGGCAGAAGAAAGTGAATGCACCAGGAAAAAGAAAGTGTTCTTCCCCTTTTTTTTGATAGGTGAGAGAAAAAAAATTRTTATGAGAAAGGGAGTACTGTAATAACAGAAGTGAAATCCACATTTTCATAGGGTTTAGCCTAGCTAAAATTGTTCTACTGGGAGAAAGTAGCTGTATTATAGACAATATGTTCTAGCCATAGTTTGCTTTGTTGAGCCTTTTATGATCTTGCAATATAAACCTATTTTGTTGCTCAACTTGTCTTTTAAGTAAAAAAAAATGGAAGTGGAAAATGCTACTGTTTAATTTAAATGGGGAAGTCTAATAATCATATGAAGTTTTTAGACTACAATGGAGCAGTTATATCACCTACTCTGCTCCGTGTTATAGAGAATTTTGWGTTTTACTCATTGTATAAAGAGGTAGTGTGGGAACATACTGCAGCTTATTTCAGTGTGAAATGGATTGAAAATGTCTTACAGAAATGCTTTGTTCAAGAGCACAAAGGAAAAATGAAAACTATTCACCCAAAATAAGGTTTAATGAGAAAAGTAAGGCTCTGGGAAATTGAAGTTACTTTTATCCAAATCCATTGTTATATTGTGGGTTTTCCATTCATATTGCTATAACATAAAAATGAATTATTATTGGTAGAATGAAAGGTTTTCCAAGCTATCTGATTTCTCCATATCACTGTCCTAAGGCAGCAGTGAACAGAAATTTTAATTCTACCATTTTGTGGGTTTGTGTGGATGAAGTGTAAGGCAGCTCACACGTTCTTAATGGTTGTGTCTATAAATGATCACCTGGCATTGCAAGTTGTACATGGTTTTTTTTCAATAGCATTAGCATGTGAAAGTGAATCTCTGCAAGCCTTTTTGAAGGTTTAAATCATAAATTTCAACTCAAGTGGTGTGTTTAAATTTGTCCATAATATTCTGCCAGCACCTGGAGTTCCAGGTTATGTGAGTGGTTTTCCAGTTGCAGGAATGATTCCATGTCACAYGTGCAGGATTTAGGAAGGTCAATACATTTAGCTTGCAATACAAAATGATCACTTTAAGAGCCCTTAGGCTCATCAAAACACAAGCCAAAGTGAGGCCTCATCTGCAAAGAGGCTGGCTGTTGTTGAAATTTTACAATCCCAATGCAATTGAATCTGAAAAATTGAGTGRAAATTATTTTTCCTGCCTTAACGTGGCAGAAGGGAATAGAATATAAAGCAACTTGCTAATAATTATGAAMACTTTATTTTAGTGCTTTTAAATATTAAAAAAAAGTTAATAATGCTAGAAAAAAAAAATAAATGGTACTAAAGCCAACACAGTAACTTCTCAGTGCAGTAACATGGCTCTCACAACAGTCCTTAGAGAAAAACTGGAAGCTCATTCGGGACGAAGGTCTTGCTGTGATGGATAAAAAAAGAAGCCTCTTCCTGCCTGAAGATGAGAACCTAMGGGAAAAAGGAGACTGGAGCCAGTTTACCTTATGGCAACAAGGTAAAAACATTTTGTATTTCTTCCCTTACCTCGGTTTCACAATCTCAGATTAACATAGTGTAAGAAGAAGCAGCAGCACAGTATTTTCTAGAACTGTTTTTGTAATCAGTATGTACAGAGGAAAGGAACTGATAAAACAGTGTTTGGGACCCCTGTGACAATGTACAGGGGTTCTTTATTCCAAGCCATGTTGTCCCCAAGTACTTCTGAGAGTCCCTTGAGTATGATAACTGTACCATGAGTGTAGTCCTCTTCTGGCAAGGCTGCCAACATTTTCATGGTAATGCATGGTACAGATCAGTCTGAGGGAGGATGAGGACATGGGAGAAGGCACATCCTCAATACTGTGCTGCCATCTAGGGAGGATCTGTCATTCAGAAAAGGTATGAGCAAAAGAATATGACTTTAATAAACCTGCTGCCCTGCCCCTGAGCTGTGCACTGGAAGGCCCAACTCTTGGAATGACCTTAAATTCTTACAGAACTCTGCATATGAAAGAGTACTACAAAATATTAAAAGCAGTTTATATCAAAATGTRATCTGGTGTTGAAATGGTATGATATTGGTGGCATTTTTAATCTTTTCTTTCTATGTGGCCACATAAGGCACTATACTTTTAAAATAATACTTTTTAAATGGTAGAAAGCCTGGTGTTCACAAATAATGCAAAAGCAAAATGTGCAGGCTGCTGTGGTATTACGACATCAGTCACACAATCTGTAAAATGGAAAAATAATATTTACCTGTCTTTCAGTGTCAGCTCTTTGGCAGTTTTSTTGCTCTTCTTTTCTGCAAAGCAGGAAATGGAAATGTTCATTCACTGCTCTTACCAATGCTCTATCCATTGTTTTCACTAGGAAGAAAAAATGAGAATGCTTGTAAAAGTGTTCCGAAAACATGTGCTTTATTGGAAAGATTCCCTGAAGCTACTGGCTGCAGAAGAGGGCAGGTACATGGCAAACTTCTTCATTTTTGCAAATTCTTAATGCTGGGAGTCTGTGATTTTGAGGAATAGAGGAATATGTATAGAGGAATGCACGATTTTTGTGTATTTAATGATGCCTCAAGCACACGATAAACTTAACAATAAAAATATCCTGTTTGAGCTGTCAGCAAATACCAGGTGAAACATGTTAGCTGAAGCCTTTCTGTGGACTCTTCAGTTGAGCCATTTTACCTTGTGTTCCTGGGAGCTCGTGGTAGGTAACTAGTTACTTGCCATGGATCAATCAATAAGTCATGCCTTACTAAACATCAGCCTGAAGGGACCTGATCTGACTCATAGCCTAACTCTGCTTTGAGCAGGAGGCTGGGTTAGGTCCTTTCTAACCTGATTTTTTTTGTTGGTTTTTTTTTCTGATCTGAACCCAACTTTACATGACCAATTCAGTGAGYCAGATTCTCACTGTGATAAACCTCAGTATGTGTCCACCCCAGCCCGGCTGCATTAGACAGAAGCAGAATCACCTTGTAGAAGCCAAGTACTGCTGCCACACGCCTCTGTCCTGAAAGTAAAGAAGTTTTACATCCATGAGCTGTGGCTGKGGGTGCCAACAAAGTTTGTTTCAAGTGCCTACAATGACTATTCAGCTATCAGTTCACCTCATTTAATCATGCAGGGGRCCTGTGTGGAGCCATACACATGCAGCTGAATGAATGGGCCAACACCGCTGTCGTGTGGTACTGCAGGACAAAAAGTTTACTTTTTTTTCGAAGTTATTGTATTTTGTCTGTTATGACTATGTGAGAATAACCTTCACATGGTAAAACTAGGGATGCAAAAGTTGAAAAGCACCATGCTAGCATAATCCCAATTCAGAGCCATGAGASTATGTGTCCATCTTTTTGACCAGACCTTTGCTTTTGATGTGCAGAGCTATGCTGGATGGCGACTGCTGTGGGAATGAACAGGGCTGTTGTTTCATTGATTGRTTGCAAAGGCTGGTTTTAGTCAATATAACTCATGAAAAGTCATCACACTCAATGTGGCTAACAACAAGAAAACTGTTTTCTGTGGCATCCRTAGCCAAAGTGGATCTGTCCCTGAGAGCAAATTCTCTTTGAAAGCTACTATTTTGTTAATTTCTTGGTGCCTTACATGTTATCASCAGGACATGACTTGCAGAAATGTTGTGTATTTACAGCTGTAGCTGTAGTCATGTTTTGAACATATAAATGTAAAATAATCTGAAAAGTGGTGCTGTTTTACATCCACTATTATGAGATGCCTAGGGCAATTTTAGTTTTATACTAACCATGACTCAAATGCGACTGCTAAATTAAAGTTAAAATATGAGCTGATCCCTATTCACATACAGAAGCAATGGGAACAAATACAAACAGGAAATAAGGAAGTGGTAGATAGTTAGTGACAAAAGTAATCAACTACCTGCTCAGTTCTGCTGAGAGACTGTGTAGAACAATAGGAAGTAGTCATATGATTTAAAATTATAACATTCTTCTTAAAAGTAGCAGTAAACTAAAAGTATCACAGCTAGTTTTAATTCTGGGCATTTCTTACATTGCAACCATAGTACAACTCACTGGTAGTTCAGAACAATTTATCTATAGCCCTTAAGTACAGCACATAATTCACAGACATATCCAGGCTGATCTGCATGRGCAGATAATGTACATACAGTAATCAATCTTCAGTKCTGGTATATTACAGAAATGGTTTATTTCATTTATAAGTAGGCAGACAGGTGCTTGCATTGCATTAGGGTCAGGCATTGCATTGGGGTCTAACACATCACAGTGTGGCAGAGGTTGGGTGGGAGGATCTGTGTTCCCCACAGCCACTGGAGCTTTTCACTCGCTGTCATGAGAAACTGACAGTGAGCTGAAACCTCAGATGGTGAGAATGGCTGAGGCAAGGGGCACACAGAGTCTTCTGCTGGTTTTGTTAACAGTTGGAGAGCAAGCAACACCTTAATCTGTAAGATTTATCAAAGCTACTCTGACCCAGCCAAATGTGCAGATTTCTCAGTTGGAAAGGTGCTTCTCACCACTGTCATGCATTATTCACACTTCCTGTTTTTTGAGTTGTTGTAGAATGAATCAAAGAGGTTGAGGTGAGAAAGGGACATCTGCAGATTACTTAGTCCAACCCCTTGCTCAAAGTGTGATGAATTAGAGCAGGCTGCTCAGGACTGTGTCCAGACAGGTTTCGAATGCCTCTAAGGATAGAGACTCTACAGACTCTCTGGGCAGCCTGTTCCTGTGTACAGTTTAAAAAAAAAGTGTTTTCTTATGCTTAAATGGTATTTCCTGTATTTCAATCTGTGTCCATTGCCTCTTTGCCTGTCACTGGATGTCATTGAGAAGAGCCTGCCTCTGCCTTCTTCACTCCTCCCATCAGGTATTTATATGCAATGATAAGATCCTTCCTTGAACCTTATGTTCAARCACAGTCCCAGCTCCCTCAGCTTTCCCTTGTGTGTTAGATTCTCCATCCCTTAATCCCCTTTGTACCCTTCACCTGCTCCARTGTGTCTGTGTCTCTCTCACAGTCRGTGCCACAGAACTGGGTCCATCATTTAGGGTGTCTCACCAGCTCTGAGGGGAAGGATAACCTCCCTCAGGCTGCTGCCAGAGCTCTCCATAACACAGCCCTGGAAGCTGTGGGTGGCCTTTGCTGCAATGCTGGCTCCTGTTTAACTTGGGCACCAAGTATGAAGACCCCAGAATCTTTCTAGMAAGTTGCTTTCCAGACAGCTGTGCATCAGCCTGTATTGGTGTATGCCTGCCTAGTGCAGAGTTTTACACTTCATTTTGTCAAATATTTTAAGATTTCTATTTCCTTCTTACTCCATCCTGTCAAGGTCTTTATGAAGGGCAGCAAAAAAAAAAAAAAATAGCATATCAGCCACTCCTATTCAATTTTCCATCATCTGCAAACTTGCTRAGGTGAATGCACTCTGTCCCATCTTCTGAGTCACTGTGAAGCTCTTAAACAATTGTGGACCCAGTACTGAGCCCTGGGATGCACCGCTGATGAGTGGCCTTCAGTGGACTTTGTGCCTCTGATTTCAACTTTCTGAGCCTGGCTTAAAGTCCAGGTTTCAATCCACTTCACTGAGACCTGATCTAGATCCTATCTCCTCAGCTGGTCGATTAGGATGTTTATGGCAGACAGTGTTCAAAGTCTTATTAAAGCTGAGAAAAACCAGACACTTCACAATAGAAAGCTGGTAAAGTATAATATCCCTTTCATGAACCCACACTGACTACTCCCAGGCACTTTCTTTTCCTTTGTGTGTTTAAAAATTGTGTCCARGATTACTTGCTCCATCACCTTTCCAAGGATTGAGGTGAGGCTGAGTCAAGAGCTGTTCCTCAGATCATCCCTCTTGCCCTTCTTCAAGATAGGAAAAATATTTCCTTTCTACCAGTTCTTGGGGACTTCTGCTGATAGCCATGACCTTTCAAAGATTGTGTGGATTGTGTGTGAATTCACATCATCCACCTCCCTCAGGCCTCATGGTGGATCCCAACAGGAGCCATGAACCAGGTTGTTGAGTTTGTTTAAATGTTCTCTAATATGATGGTTCTCCACAGAAGAGAATTCTCTTGTGCTCTGGTCTACTCCACTAGATTCAGGTGCCTGGCACTCCTGAAAGTCGGTCGTACCAGTGAAGATTGAGGCAAAGAAGACAGGTAGTGCCTCAGCCTTCTCCATGTCCTTTATCACCAGATATTCTGTCACATTAGTAGCTGGTCATGTTTTCCCTTTTTGTCTGAGGTATGTGTAGGAATCTCTCTTGTTACACCTCAATTCTATCTCCAGATTCAACACCAGGAGAGTTCTGACTTTCCTCACTTCATCCCTGCATGTGCAGAGTGTCTCTAGAATCTTCCTGGGTGACCTGGCCCTGCTTCCACTTCCTGAGTGCTTCCTTTTCGTGTTTCAGTTTTGTCTGGCTTGCCATGCACTGAGTTTGGACAAGATGCTACTTAAAAATCAACCAGCCATCCTAGACCCCTCTGCTCTCATGGGATTTTTCCCAGCAGATCCCTGAATAAGACCAAGCCTGCTCCCCTGAAGCTGTGGGTAGTAATTCTGCTTTTTGGGTAGTAATTCTGCTTTTTGACTTTTTCCATCCTCTCATGGTCTTGAACTCCACCTTCTCCTGGTTGCTCCAGCCCAGGCTGATGGTGACCTCCACAGACATGTCATCTGAGAGGGGCTGACCAGTCCAATGAACATAAGCCTTGTGTCTCCTACTGTCCATCCTTTTAAATCTTTCCATAGGAAAAAAGATACTTTTTTCTGATTGCAGACAAAAGATAATTGTTTTCAGCTTGAAATGTGAGTACTGGTTATTTTAAGTAGAATTAAAACTATATACTTTTACATACAAATACACCCCTGGTTTCACACACACCACAAAACATATGTTTTGTTGTACTCAATTCCTTTAGGATATGAGAGAGAAATTGCTGCTGAAACTCACACAAAAGATGGCATTACACTTTTCACCCATCACCAAGGATGAGACTAAATGAAGTCCAGAACTCCCAGCAGCATGGTTGTGAAGCAGAATGTATTGAAAAAATGTACCTTTCTCTTGTTGCAGATCAAATATTCTATCATGCACCCAGGGACTCATGTCTGGCCCCACACAGGGCCCACCAATTGTCGCCTGAGGATGCATTTGGGCTTGGTGATCCCTAAGGAAGGCTGCAGAATACGGTGTGCCCAAGACAACAGGTATGCTTGCAATGTTTGGTGGTTTTTCCGTTGGTTGGCAGGAGTGGGGAGGTGTTTGCTTGGTTGGTTGACTGTTTTTGGGGTTTGTTTTTTTTTCCACTTTCCTCAAGACTGAGGAAGGGATGGGACTGCATGTAATTAAAAAGAAAACAAACAATGGGTGTTTTGTTGACTAGGATGTGTAACATATTTCACTAAACAGGCAGTTTGCACCCTAACTCATGGTACAAACTTATATACCTACATTTTCACCACTGTGACAGAAAACCATARTACTTCTGGCAGAAGCCTCCATTTTAGCTGATGTTATTTGTTATAATTCAGTTTAAATATTCCAGTTGAAGYTGATCTGAGGATGAAGACATCTATGAAGTTTTTGGCCCAATGAATTACACAGGTGGCAATTTTTTTTTAAGTGGACTTTAAGTGAGATTTCTTACCCATTAGGGAAAAATTATACTGGATTTCAAGTCAGTTTTATCTCTGTTTGCTCAGTCCAAAACCAAAATTAAATGCAATAGCTTATACATTTACAATCAGGGCATATACTCCCCTTAGAAATATGGGAAAATGTGCTAAGTTTTTTGCATTGTATTATAAAACATGGGAAAAAATGTATTAACTATACTGCTTGTTGATTACAGGCCTAATTTGCTGAGACTTAAATGAAATTCTTAAATTTATTAAAAATTCTTAAATGAGACTTAAATGAAATTATGCTTAGTGTCTGTACATATATTTTTGAAAGGTTCTTGTATTGGCTGCAGCTTCTCAGGGCAACAGCTGTTAATTTTGAATTATTTTCAATGTCATAATGGAATTACTGGTAGTAATTTAATTAATTTGATATTGAGAACTGAAATACTACTCCTGTCTTCATGACTGCACTGCACAGCAAAGGGTTTTTTCTCATAACATTTGGAAACAACTACAACAGGAAATTTTTGAGGATAGAAGTATCTCACTGTTAATAACCAAAAATGTTGTTACTATACACTCCTGCCAACATACAGGTTATTTAATTATTTGTCATAGTCAGTATTGCAACCTACACTGCCTACATCTAGGAAGTGATGGACATTTTTTTCCAACATTCCATTCCAATACCCAAAATAAGTTGAATGGAGGGAGAGGTAACCAAGGGCCTTAGAAGACTGATAGAGAGGCACAAAGTCTTTCCACTTTAGGACATTATTGTGACTTCAGATTGTTGATGGCTGAATGTCATTACAATCAGGTGACTGTTCAGTAGACAGTGTGAATGAAGTAGTGGTTTTTCTCTGCTGCCCAGGGAGCAGGTGTCCACAGCTCAGCACCCTTCTTTGTCTTCACCTGGACGGAAGGGATGGTCCTGTGGAGAATGAACTTAACTCCCTCCTTGGTAGCAGCACTCCCTCAAAGTCAAGAGTGGAAAAATGCCTGTTGCTGCAGACAGAGCACAGAGCACGTCAGTGTCCAGGCTCCAGAACCTGGCTCAGCCTTATGCACTGGACACATTCATTTCAAATGTAAAACATTCAAGAGCTGACTCCAACTTAGGCTGGAATGTAACATCAGTTGCTTACAGCAAGAGCTGTACATTCAGAAACAAGTGCAAGATTTTCCTTGTAAGCACTTAAAGTGTGTCTACTGCTGGCAGTGAAAGGTTTTTATATAACCCCTCCCCTATGGCAGAGGAGGTGTGTGAACTTCTGTGAAAGGGAATGGTGCCAGGAGGAAAACCTACCTTGGGTAATTTCCATTCCTTCCCTCCTGGTTCAGAGCAGTGGTGAACTGGTGGTTTCCAGCAGGAGAGCTGGCTGGCATGGGAAGGTTGGCATCTTGCTTTTCTGACCTCCTGTGCCACTGCTGTGTGCATGAGAGAGTGAACAAAAACAGTGAGAATTTTGTGCTTGGTTACCTTTGTGCCACCCAGCCTGGTTGTTTAGAGGAGCAAAGTTACAGTGCAACACATCCTCTGATGGACAGGCAAATCAGCACTGTCTAGAACTGGATTTTACTCCTTCATTTGCAGAAGAGTTTTTTGCAGCTGTCTGAAGTTGGTGTGCCTTGTGGCTGAGGGCCACAAAGATGATCAGAGGGATGGAACATCTCTGCCATGAGGAAAGGCTGAGAGAGCTGGGGTTGTTCGGCTTTGAGAAGGCTCCAGAGAGATCTCATGGTGGTCTTTCTGTACTTAAGGGAGCTTTGAAGAAAGATTGGGACAGTTTTTATCAGATAGGTTGCAACAGGATAAAGGGTAATGGTTTTAAACTAAAAGAGGAAAATTTTGGATTCTATATAAGGAAGAAGTTTARTAGAGAGGGTAGTGAGACACTGGAACAGGTTGCCCATMRAGACAAATAGATGTCACATCACTGGAAACATTCAAGGTCAGACTGGAAAGGTCTCTGAGCAACCTGAGTCCCTGCACATAGAGACTTTTGCCTTTAAAGGTTCCTTTCAACCCAAACTATTCTGTTTCTTGTTCTGTATAGCATTGGTCTTTTTAGGTCACTGGGCTGTTTTGAAGTCCCAGCTCTGTAAAGTGYAGGGTTCAATGCCCAAAAGTGGCATGTAAATAATATCCAATTATCATAATCAAAGATCACTGTCAGGCAAGGTAATCTTACCTTGAAATGAAGGTGAAGTTGCCATTGTGCAGAAGTCGGTCTGGGATCTCACCTTTAACTGGTGGCACTAGAGCTGATCTGGAAAATGGCACGGAAACTACTCCAAAGTGCCTCAGCACMAGAGCAGAAGAATATGGTCCCTGTGTTACCACTGAGAAGTGTTTCTCACACCATCAGGCTTCTAGAAAATGTTTATTTGCATGCTAATGGTGGGGTTTGTAGCCTTTTCAAAAGGGGTTAATAGTTCCTTCAACTTTATGACTTTTTCTTTGTTGTGCAGAGCAGCCGATCCCATTATGATGCAAATGATAGATCCTGGGTTTTAACCTCTGAAGCTGCTTCATCTGGGTGCCTGGGTTTTTATTGTCCTTAACTGAGCTGCACTTTCAGGCTATTTAGAGTAGTTCTTTTCAGGCTTTATTTAATTTTTTTTTAAAAAGAAAGCCACAAAACCAGAAACAAAAAAAACTCAAAAAATCCGCAAACCAGCCTAAAACCCAACTACCCCCCCAACAAGAAAAACAACACCAGTCCTCAATTGCTCCAGACAAAAGCAAAACCAAATCTCCCAATCCTCCCCAAACACCCCCACCAAACACCCATGGCACCCATCCCCCCAAAAAAACCTACCCAAATCTGCCCAAAACCAACCTCCCAAAAAAAAACTTCCCAAAAAAACCCAGAAGAAAACCCCAAAAAAAAAACCAAAAAAAAAAAAAACAAACAAAAAACCAAACCCAAAATACAACCCCAAAGTCTGCTTGAATATTTTTACCACATTATAGCATTGCAAGTGCTTTACTCCCATTGACTTGTATAAAACCAATGTAACTGTAGTGTGGTACCAATAACWCGGGGTCTATGTGACATAAAACATTTTTGTTACCAGATAACTGATGTGGTAGCAAAAAGCCTCACATGATCAAAGCTGAAACCTGCAAAAGGCTGSTTATCTGGGCCTTTAAGGCTGATGTCCTTATGCGAGTGTGATTTTTTTTTTTACTATGTATGCTTTTGGTTGTCTACTCTTGCTTAAATTATGTTTCGATGATTATTACAATTGATCCAATTTCAATTTCTCTTCAGAACATTAACACACAACCCCATCAATTTTGTGGTTAGTTTTTCCTTTTGTTGAATTAAAAATAGAGATGAATTGGAAGTATGAATCTAGTTTTCACCCTGTTTTTTAAAAAAGAAAATAGTTTTCTCTGTAAATGAACACAGCTGAATGAGCTTAAGCAATATTGCATTTCCATCTGTGATGGCAAGGCCTTTGTTTCTTTACCATTGTTACTGTTCATAGTGCTTAATTCCCTCTGAAGGCATCCATCCTCTTGGATTGCTTCAACTCCTGAGAGATCCTGCTACAAACCTTGAGTATGTGTTCATAGTAAAGTGGTTTTAGGAAGAAATGTTTCTTTGACCATTGTTGACTTGGCTGCTATTCATCCAGTCTCACCTGGAGGTGTAGAATCAGGCGTTAAACTTCTTTTCTAAATAATGAATCCAGGTCTCAGGAGGCTGGAGAAGCTGCCAGCTGAAACTTGATGATGTTCAACAAAGGAAATGCAAAGCCCTGCAGCTGATARCAGATAAACACCTTGCAGCTGTAGCAGCTGGGAGATGACTGCATAGAAAGCAACTTTGTAGGAAAGGGCTTAAGGATCCTAGGGGCCACGATGAACATGATTTATAATCTTTTTATTGATGGAGTCTAGCTGTGTACTGGACTGTGTCAGTAAATTTGTAGGAAACGGTTTGAACAGTACAATTTTTTCCTCTCTCTTCTGCACTCAAGACACTGCCTGTAGAGTACTGTGTTCAGTTTGGGACACTTTAGTACCAAAAAGTCACTGATAAACTAGAGGGACTCCAGTGGAGGATGAATAAGATGCAGACTGGAACATGCAATACCTTAGGAGAAGCTCAACAAACTGGTTTGGAGTCTGAAAACCAAAAGGCTGAAGAGCAGCTTGGTTACTGTCATCAGCTACTAATTGGTGACTGTGACAAAGACAGAGCCAGGCTCTTTTCAGAGAGGTACCATTATARAATGAGAGGTAAAGAACACAAGTGACAGTGAAGGAACTTCCATCTAGGTAGAAGGGATTTTTCACAGTGAGATTGATAAAACACAAGAAGAGATGTTAGAATGCTCATGGTTGCTGTTATCTCAGGTTTTCACAAGTGAATTTTTGAACATTTCATCTAACCTCAAAGTTGAATCTAATTTTGCAGTCCTTCTATGAGCAGAGGTTTGGACCATATCACCTTCCAGAGGCATTGTTCTGGTTTTTAGAGAAAGAAAATTGAGTCAATGTAATTTCTTTTTGAGGCGTATGGCCATATTACAGGTCTTTTCCCTCAGTTTCCATCACTTATGTAYATCACTAAAGTGTCTGATTAGAAATGAAGAAAAGTGGATTATTACACCATTATTATATTGACTYCCTGCTTAATGGACTCAATTTGTTAAAAGTATAATAAATAATATRCATATAAATTTCTGAATGTATTTGTGGGCATAACTGCAGAATGAGGGGAAAGGATCCCTCAGTAATATGAAGGTCTATTAGATTGACCTTTCTGTAGTTTATTTAAGGCTCCCGTACACCAATCTCTCTATATTAAACAGTGAAATCTTGACTATGGAATCTGTACTGTTTAAATCTTTCTTGTATGTCAAAGAGCATCTTCAGAGCTGATCCATAGCTTACCTGCTCCATGGCGCTTCAAATACTACACTGAAGTATGTTCTTTTTTGTTTCACAGAGCCTGGGAAGAAGGGAAAGTTCTTATTTTTGATGACTCTTTTGAGCACGAAGTGTGGCAGGATGCTGACAGTTATCGCCTGATATTCATYGTGGATGTGTGGCACCCGGAGTTAACAGCTCAGCAGAGACGTACCCTTCCTGCTATTTAGGGGTTTTCTTCTGAWGTGTGGAACAGAGGAGCATTAACTCCTTTGGAGTATGAAAACAGGATTAATTTATCCAGCGTACAAAGTATACAAGCATTCTAAGGGTAAGAAAATACAGGGATGACATTCTACAGAGTGGACTTGGTTTAAAAAAAAAAGAAAAAAAWWRRAAAAAAAAAAGAAGCCATGTTTTATTTCATACTGGTACAGCACTGATGTATATTGTTTTTCTGGCTGCAAGTCTGAAAACACAAGTCTTGTCAGTGAAAAAGCAATAGTTCTGGGTTTTCAAACTGAGGAATGTGCAGATGTTTTTGCCATGCCTGTGTTTTCTTTGCAAAACCAGTCGGTCAGTCACTTGCTTGACTGTGTTCAAGCATTAGATTTATGATTCTACATCTAGGGAACACTTCTTGGGCTTCTGTCTGGGAAGCAACAYGTAAGATATTTGCAAACATATGCACACAATTGACTTTGAAAATCAGTATACAGTTATAATGTTAGCTGCTTTAGGCATAGAATGTGTCTCTATGTTATCACCATAGATAATGTGAATGGATTATGTGTGTTTTGTACTTTTTCTACCTGAGTAACTGTATTTTTCTAGCTTAATTATGAACAAATCTTCTTTAATTAACCACTATATTTTAGAAAAGGTGATACATATATATATATACAAGTGTGTCTCTAGCTATCAGCAGAAGGAAAACACTGTATATGAACAAATTTCATTTTTGCCAAGTGTGGCCTTCATTTGCCTTCCTGGAAATGCAAACAGAAACTTGCATAATAGCTGCCTAGTGAAGCTTTATTCTTCTAAAACAAAATAGTTCTCTTACTTAGCAGGTGACCTTCAGTTTGATAATGTGATTTTGGAAAATGTTGAACAAATCTGACATTTGCAGGCTCAGATCTTAAACTGCTTGACAGTTTTTAGGATTATATGGTGAGCTGCTGTTTCTCCTAACATTGCAAAAGCTTCTGTTGTGATACCCTTCTACCCAACAAGGGTCTGGGGCACCTCCTTGCAGGAGCTTCTCTTTGGCTGCCCTTGGGTGGTCATTCAGCAGAAAAAAAATACATGAAGAATTTCTGGTGCTTTGGGCAGAAGGACAAGGTCTTGCTTGGCTTCCTGCCAGAATGCAGAGCTGACAAAGAGCTTCAGATTATTGACTCATATTAACTTCCACTGCCAGCATCCTACAGAGTGCTAGAAAAATCCTCTAATTGACTTAATGGTGTTTCCCTTGTCTTGAGATGTGTGACATAATGCTGAAGTAGTCTGATCCCTGCACAGTTTACAGGGTGCTCTGTMTTTGCCATACAGCATTTACTGTATGGTAAGAAGGCCTATTTTCAAGAAAGAAAACTAATTGGGTGTTTAAGCAGTTGGCAGATCTTTTGGGTCTGTACCATTTAAAGGGAGATGGAGGGTGCAGGACCCTCCACAATGAACTTCTAAGAACACTAACAGGAGACAGGGAGCAGAGAGGGTGCTGCTGATGGTTCTGGCTGTTACCTGCAGCATCAGCTGGGTGTGGATGGGTGTGCTGGGATGCTCTGGGCATCACGGCTGAGGGTTCTGAGGGACAAACACTAAGCAAGGAGACATTGAGGTCACTCAGTCTCTGCAGCTTTAACTTTGTTGTCCAAAAGACAAGGAACAGTTTTTATGTGTGTGGTACTCAGTGGTTTATTACTGCAGAGTCTACATTGGGGCATTGAAGTATCGTGACCTGAATGTCACATTTGCTGAAGCAAAATGCAGACAAGTGCRTTGCATTCCCATAAACTGAATACTTTTCACATTTTGTATTTTACTAGGTAATTAAATCTTGTAATGCCATATGACACATGGTGATTGCRCCATAAATTAGTGTAACCAGTTTCTGGAGGTGTGCACTTTAATTTCCTTTTTTGAATATTAAACTGATAAACCTTCTCTTACCAAGAGTCACTTTTAGACAGCTAAGATAATTAGGTTTTAAGGTATTGTCTGTATCAAAAATAATCATGAAACTATATACAATGTACAAGAAAGTAACAGTTCTCAGTTAATAATAATGAAAAAMTGTAAAGATTTATAAGTTTCACACTTTGAAGAATAAAAAAGTAATTTTGGAGATCATRTGGAGAATCATGCAAAACTGGAAATAAGGTACTTGTTTTTGTAGGAGTAAAAGAGTAAAAATGGTCTTTTAATCTCCTCTTAGCTGTTGTGTCAGAGGCTGTACTTTATATATTTGTGAAGTGATCAAGCAGTACAAATTATAAGGTCTTTTGTAATTCTCTAAAATAAAGACATAGTTTGTAAAGAAAAAATCCAGAATGTTTTATACAAAACTGATGATTTATGAATATTTTTATTAATGTTGCATTTTAGTTTCTATAGCTCAGTCTAAATGCTAAAGGAGTGGTAAAAGCTTTGGAGCTTTATTTGTGAAAAYCCATGCCGTCCTTCAGATTGTTCCTTTGAAGACTCATATTTTATCTTTTCCAGTTGCAATTGGCAAATAGATAAAATTGGCAAATGGATAAAAGTAATCTCCCCAAGATGTGTGTGTGCCAGAGTAGCATTGTTTATTAGATTGTATAATGATACATTGGCCATTTAAAAATCTTAAGTGCCTCAAATGAGACAAGGTGTTCCTGCAACACTGAAGTGAATATATTCTATTCTATGAGAGTGGGTAATTTTGTTAGGTGCAGTTCCTGGATTAGCTCTATACATGGGGAGGGTGTATAGAGCAGAAATTATGCAGTGAGTTACTGACATGTTATTTTAGGTATTTCTCTTTGCCAACTGGTGTTTTGTCTTGAAAAAGCTTTTCAACAGTGAAAATGCCAAGGGAAGAAGTGAATAGAAGTGTTTTCTTTAATGGAGATCCATTTCAATTTGGTGGGTTTTTTTGTTAGATTTATTTACAGAAGGAAATGACACAAGGGCAATATAGTTTGTAACACAGTGTGTACTCATGACAATGCTAGGAGATGTGTTCCACCCTGCCTGTGGTTACCTTGCTTTCTCAGAGTCTGTGCAAGAGCCTATGGTTAAATGCAGGCTTCATGCAGTTATATATAGGGCATCATATGGATTTATTCATATCACAGTTTAAGAAAATAAATAATTTAATCCTTTGCAAGGTTTGAACCTCAAGGACTAGATTTCAGGGGTATTTGCCCTTCTTGGRCAGATCAAGACCCGCTTTAATGAACTGTGATTGTAACAGATCATCACAAAGATTCAATGGCAGTGGGGGTAAATGTATTAACAGAGAAAAATCACAAACCAAAGTATTTCTTCCTTAATGCTGCAGTATAATAGCAAATGTCTGTCCTTTTTTGTTGCTTTGGGTTTTTACTTTCTGCTTTAAGCACATTCTCTTTGACAAATCCAAATGCCTTTGTGTCTCCGTGAGCCCAGGGAAGGAGCTGCTACCAGGACTTGACATCCTTGTTTTCTGTAATAGGTGTTGATGAGGTTAGGGGAGGGGGAATGGAAGAAACCCCAAAGATAAATGGGCTCAGTCTTCTTATGTGTTTAATGTTCCTGCAAGCTTCTGCTGCTTTTTCTGACTCCTGTGTTGCCTTGCTGGGACCATCCACTGCCTTAAAGGCTTGCTCTCTGTTACAGAGGCCAGGCTTTGTATCAATGACACGCTGCTGCAATAAGAGGTTAGYCTGAGTGAGGTGATTCTGTACAAAAACTAGTGGGTAAATTCCAGGTGTGTYGATAGGATCTGGCAGGATGTCCTTTCTGCCCTGTGCAGGCAGAAAATGTTATTGCTCATAAAGGCAGTATTTTGTTAGTCCATCTGTTCGGGCTGACCATGTCCACTTGAACTATATCATCACTTCGTGTAACACTTGAGAATTCAGTGGGTATTCCCGGGCACATTAAAAACCCTTGTGCCCATTATCATCTCATTTTGTATSTATGGTTTACGCTGCTACCTTTGATATATTGTTGCCAACTGCTTGTTCTAGTAAATTGTCGATGTATGGCAATTTAATTGAAGACTAAAAGTGTGTAGAGTGATTGTAACTGCTTCAGGAAATAAAGTCACTGAACATTCAATTTGATAACGATTGTTCTTTTATTTCTTTAATCCGGTTTCCATTTCAATGAAGGGATGGTACTCTCTTTGCAGCTAGAGCAAACAGAGATATAACAAACTGATCTTTGGCATTTCAGTTCTTCTATTCTTCACCAATTCCTTCTAGCCTGTACTGAATAATTAATTCTAATTTTTCCTTTTTCATTTTAACCATGGCCCGCATCTGCAATCAGCGCAGCTTTCTGGCTACACTTTTCCCCGACTGCAGGAGGGAAAGGGGTAAATGGCTCTGCAGAGCTTTCATTTGCTGTTGTGACCTCAATGAAACAAGGTGGATTTAATTGTTAATCACTGCTGAATTTGTCCAATGTGTCTCCCTGGAACCCCCCCTTCACACGTGCACACACATGCACACGCACATGTCTTACAGGCTCCTGAGTTGCCTGTGGAAAAACACATTGTTAAAATGAAATAATTGCATTTCAAATTGTACATGTCTGCTGCTCACACAGCTCATTCCACTTAGCTGACGGTTTTAGAAGGGCTTCAAAAGTTAAGAACAATTTTTGCTTGATACTGAAMTGTGACCCCCTACAAGCTGCATGGATGAGGCAGTCACAAAGTGTCATGTTGAATGGCATTATGCTGGCACTGGGGTTGTTTTTTAAATGCAAAATCCTTCTGTAAAACTCAAATAGTCTGTGGGTGCTGATGATTCTGCCCTCTGACCCAGATTACACTTGCTGATTACACTGCAAAGTTTAAATGTGAGATCCTTTTCTTTAAAACACACTTTCAACCTTYGCTTCTATAAAATGAACATCCCTGATGGAGTCTTCAAAAACGCTATTGATTCACCCTGCTTTCTTTCAACAGAGAATGCAGTCCCACYATTTCCAATATTTTAATGTCATCAGTCAAAAAGGAAATAAAGAGAAATGAAATTCTTTGTATATGGACAGACTCCTGTGTCAGTGGAAGTTTGTCAGTTGTTGCTCAGCGCCGGCCGCACAGACAGATGGCTGGTGACAGTTGTTACTTGGTCAGGAAACACGAAGGACTCGTTATCAAGCGGAAGGCGTGTGTGCGTGCGTGTGTCTGTGTGTGGTGTGCTCTGTGGGGTTCTGGAACGGTGGAATTCTGCTCACGRATCTCTCTTGGGCACGTCAGAGCTCAGTCCAGAGCCAGCAGCGGTTGGGTGTTCTCGCTTTCCCCCTGGTCTTCGTGTTTCAGCGTGCCGGCTTCCACCACGGACTGGGACCTGAAAGCAGGGAAACACACACACTAGCAAGGACTGCTGCACAAACACTCACCTCCCTGGGTCCCYGTGCTTCCTCTCATGATCTCTGCATTAGTCCATTTTTACCTTATGGCTTGTTAATCCTTCCATGGAAAGAATCTGAGGAACACTCCTTTAAACACAAGCAGAGATATGACTCATTGAAGCTCTCAAATGCTTTCAAAATGTTTAGTGCTTACCTGCTATCCATAGTGCTGAATGTGCTCAGTGACTTAAAGACCTGGCCCTGCAATATTGTGAGGTCTGTTGGTGCTCAGTGTCCTCCTGGGCAAAGCTGTGCCACTGCTTACTGGAAAGCAAAGTCATTGGCACAAGTGCTGCAGGAGTCACAGCTCGTGCTCAGTGCAAATCTTGACAAATACAAGCAGATAAATCATATTTTGCTGATGTAAGGCTTTATGGGGCAGAGCTTCCATGAGGTGCCCAAGACCAATAAAGAAGATGGAGTTAATACGACAATGAGGGAGCTTCTGGTGTGCCCAGTCCTGCAGTTATYCAGGATTTTAAATTCATTTCTGCCTTCAAGGTGGGAAGCATAGTTTATCCTTTGTTATTAATGAATAAAAAAATCCCAACACATAAAAAGACGAGTAAACACTAGAGAAAGAGGAGCATCATGTTTTCTTGTAGTAGCAAAGGCTGAATGGGCTCAAAATAGTGGGAAAATTCAAGACCATTTCATTTTTCTGGGATCTGTTTGCTCTAATGTTTGCTTGCTSAGCTATGGAAGGAGGATCTGATGGAGTTCTTGTTACAAAGATTTGTTATCCTTCATTTTCTCTGTTTTGGGCTAGGAGTTGCCTCCCAGTTTGGAGGAGAAAATGAGCTTCARAGCAAGGTCACTGGGTGAATCTGGAACTTTTAGAAAAGAAACCTTTTCATGAGGGGTGACAGAGTTATCCACATCAGACATAGTGCATATATTTTTATGGACAGTTTTCTCATGGATAGCTTTTAGATTTAGGGATAGCTCTCATTACATATATGATGCATTTGTAGACCCCAATTGTTCATTTTTGATTTAGTTATTTTGTGAGATTAGATGTCACCTCTCTTTTGATAAGAATCCTTAATTCTGTCCTTTGGTACTGCAGGACTGAATACCATGACAGTGAATAACTTGTATGATAATTATTCTTATGCCTGAAGCCTTCATTAAAACACAATAAAAAATTTTCATTTAAAAAAAATAAATCTCCAAGGAAAGATAACAAAAACTGGATGCTCCATGAGAAGATTTTATGCCATAATTTTCAAAGAAAGTATATTTGCCCAAATGTTTTCACTGCGTATTTTTTACAGATATGTGATGTGCATAATGTTTATGATTGCATTTTAATATAGAAAAGCAACAGATTTGGGAGATTATGCACAATGGCAATTTTGGTATTTCTGGTATGAGATAGCAAAAAGTAATCATGTGGCTTTCAAACTCTTACAAAATGGGTTCAAATCACAACATCATCAGGTTTTTATTTTCTTTTTGACTACCAGATTAAACTATTATTTAATAGTACTTGATTAATACTTGTCATCAGTGTATTGTTCCTGTCTCACCCACTACCCTTCAATGGATATAAAAAGTTGTGTATTCTTTGCAGCATTTTCCAGCATGCAGCAGAAAGTTTCTGCTCTAAATCAACTGTGAAAAATCTCMCAGTTTTTCCTCTTGTGACCACTGCTGATCATCTCTGCTCTCACCTTATTACACACTCAACAGTTCTTGCATCTGGAACAGAAAGATACTGGGTTCTCCACCATACTGGTACTTGGATTCACACCACCTTGGGAGCAACATAATCCCAAATTTAGTGCGCAGGTCCGATGTTGTCCCTTTTCCCATGGAAACAAAATACCCAGAGCACTGAGTAAAATACCCAGAGCACTGTTGTAACCCAGCTGACCTCCAAATTCAAGAGGCCAAATTATTCAAATGCTATGCCCAGCCCTTCTGAATAATGTGAAGAGCAATCCAGCTGCAATTTTTGTATCTGCCAAGCTCTGCAGCAACAATTTCTTTTCTGTTTCTGCTAAAAGCTGCTGAGATTACTTTAGATATCCYAAAATAAGCAATTCTGATGTCTATCTATGGGGCACAGTCATGGTTTGAACAATCGCTGTTTTCGAAGACCCCACAAAAAAAGGACTTGTATTTGGATTTCCATTTCCCAAATACATCGGGGGTTTTTTTTTGCTGGATAGTGTTTCCAGTTTTTTTTTAAACTTTTTATATAAAAAAGAAAAAAACCAGTCAATTTGGAACAAGATTCAAAAATATTTTTTCATATTCTTCATTTATGACAAATATTAAAAATGTAGATAGTAAGGAAAGGGTTTTGACAATATGCAGCTCACAATCTGCAGTAATAACTGCAGTTATTAATATAAGTAATAACTTAGCATGAGATATATATTGTGCCAGCCTAAAACATCCTGAATGTATTCTATAGCTATGCTTTATTTCATGACAGAGGRTGTGTTTATCCAGCTGAATGTTGGATATTTTGTCAAGAAGGATATTGTGATAGACAGTATCAAAAGCTTTGCTRAATTCCAAAAAGGTTTCCTTAACTGGCTTTCCTAGTYCAGCTAGTTGGGTTACTCTGGGGGAGAAGGAAATCTGGTTTGACAAGCAAGACTTTCTCCTCATCACCRTGCTGGCTGTGACCAATGACTGCATTGTTCTCCAGGTGTTYTTCAATATCTCCCAGAATAATTTTTTCCATGATCCTACTGGGCACTGAAGGGAGACTAACAGGCCTGTGGTTTCTGGGSTCCTCCTTCTTGCCCTGCTTGAAAATTGGGACATTTGCCACCTTTCAGTCAGCTGGGACCTCTCTAGATTCTCAGGACCACTCAAGATGATGACCACTCTCATCTGGAAAGATGACATCAGATAACTCTTTGAGGATTCTCAGACGAATCCCATCAGGCCCCAGAGATCAGCAGGSATCCAGCTGGAGCAGCAGATCCCACACAAGTTTGGGGTCAGCTGGGAGYTGATCATTCTCACAGGCATRGTCCTCCAGCTCTGGGCACTGAACTCCCCTCTATTTTGTGGCTGTAGAAATTAACATAAGACAAATAGTATTTGGAAGAAGGACTCTGTGAGTTGGTTTCATCTGGCTTTTGTGTACCTAGCACACACTGAGTTCAAGGAAAGCTGTCACATTCTAGGTATGCACAAGTTTACGCCATATTTAGGGGGATGTGTATACTGACTCTAACTTTGAGCCTAGGACTGAGACTAGTCTTTATTTTAAAAGTACTTGTTGTAGCTGCATTTCCATTTTCTTCAGAGGACTTCACAACCACATTTCAAATTTTTAAGATTTTTCTTAAAAAAAAGGGGTGTGTGTATTTAATTGTACCTTAACCTCCTATCGAAAAATAAATTGCAGTCAGACACCAAAGTACCTTTGCCCTGACCAGTCTCTGTAAATTGMAACCATCTTTGCATTCAAAGCACCCTCTTGCACCACAATTGAGGCAATTTTGATTTAAAATGGTAAATGAGCAGTGGAGAACCTCCCTTGTTTGGCAAACAGGGTTTAAGCTTTGTCCCTRTCAATGCAGTGGAGAGTGTTCTGTGGTATTTCATGGGCAGCAGAAGTTTTTCATGGCACCAGACAAAAACATTTTTGTTTCGCTATCTTTCCATGTCAGTGTGTTCAAATGCCTGATGGGGTGGAGTAGTGGAACACGAGAATCATCTCAGTGATACTCAGTGACAGGAGAGGCAAGAGACACAGATGGAAATACAGGAGCTTCCATTTTTTACTGGGGAATGGACAAACACTGAAACAAATTGCTCAGAGAGGTTGTGGAGTCTTCATGCTTAGAGATATTCAAAATCCAGATGGACACAGTCCTGCACAACCTGYTCTAGCTGGCCCCGCACTGTGCAGGGGATTGGGTAAAAGATCTCCAGAGATTTCTTCCTCAACCTTTTTGTGATTCTGTGCCCACAGAAATACCAGCTTCCCTGAACCATCCAAATTCATCTTTCTCTATCCTGACAGGGCAACGATTTTCTTTACAAGTTGATTATGCCTTTGGAGTGTCAACTTTCACAGAGTGGATGACATTCAGCTGCTAAACATAGATATCTMTGGCCATTTAAGGCACCGTAGGGTRTCCAAAACAACTGATTAGATAATTGAAGATTATGGCTCTGGGTTTTACAAAACACTCGTAGAGGACTCACGTCCTTCTGGAGTAACAGATGGAGACCAAGAGGCCATCATAGTGCCTAAAACCATTTAATTTTACTTTGCAGGATGAATGCAGCAACTTTGTAATGTTCAAGGAATGTCCAAGTAATTTTGACCTTGGGCCAGATATGAGCTAATTATCAGCAGGAAACAGAAATTACATTGGCCTTCTCCTCCTGTCAATACATTTTAGTCACTTGTGTTTTGATTCATCTCATCATAAGACATCTCTGGTCACTCAGTGCTATAAATGGCAGAGAAATAAACATTCTTGGGGTGCTATTCATCTGACTTGTTCTAAACATAAGGTCTAAATATRTGATTCATGGGTTACCTACATTCAAGTCCCTGTTCTGATGAGTTCTCATCTGTTAAAGGCAGGGAGAACAGATTTCATGACTTACAAGGCAATGTTTCCTACATATCATAGTAATAACTGCGTCACAACTTCAATATTCACCTTCACTATATTGCCTTCAACACTCACCAGAAATGTGWCACTTGTCCTGTGTGTGCTGCAACTATGGAATTATAAATGAGTATATTTGAATTCAAAACCTTCTGGTTTTCTTCTTTTCTCAGCTAACAAATTCTCAGTAACCAGTTTGAAAGATGCTTGGCTGTGGAGGATCTGGTTGACTTAAATTTTAGCACAGGTAGACAATTGTTTGTATCACACAGATAGGGTCACTGCCCTCAGCTGGCAGACACTGTGCCTGTCTTTCTTTAACATGATCCATTTGGGAG